GTCTCTTTTAACAGTTTTTGTGTTAAAGTCTATTTTGTTTGCTGTTAGAATGGCTACAAAGTCTTTTTTGCTTTCTTTTGTGATGGAATATCTTTTTCCATCCTTTCACTTTCAGTCTGTGTGTATCTTTGTTGGTGAGATGTGTTTCTTGTAGGCAGCAAATAGATGTATTCTGTTTTTTAATCCATTCAGCCTTTCTGTATCTTTTAACTAAAGAGTTTTGGCCATTTACATTCAAGATTACTATTGATAAGTAACAAGTTGGCCCTGCCATTTTTCTGTACATACTCCTATTGTTTACTTCTGGTTTCCTTTGTACTTTTACTGGGAGATTTTTGCTTTCATATTCTTTCAAAATGATGACTATCATTCTGTGTTTCTGTGTATACCATATCCTTAAGCATCTTTTGTAAGGCCAGATGAGTGGTGAGAAATTCTTTCAATTTCTGTTTGTTATGGAAAGTTTTTATTTCACCTTCACTCATAAATGAGAACTTTGCAGGGTACAGTTATTCTGTGTTAACTGTTTTTTCTCTTGAATCTTGGACTGTGTCTCTTCATTTTCTCCTAGTCTGTAGAGTTTCTTATGAGATGCCAGCTGTGAGTCAATGGAGATCCTCTGAAAGTAATTTTGTGTTTCTCTCATGCACATTTTAGAATCTATTTATGTTTTATTGCTGAAAGTTTGACTGTAGTGCAATATGGTAAAGATTTTTTCAGGTCATGTCTATTAGGAGTTCTGTGTGCTTCCTGTACTTGGACGTCCATTTATTCTTCCAAATTGGGAAAGTTTTCTTTGATTATTTCACTAAATATGCCTTCTAGTCCCTTCTGTCTTTCCACACCTTTAGGAACTTGTAAGACCTGTATGTTGGGTTGGTTGACAGTGTCCCATAAATCTCCAATTACTGTGTGTCGCGTCCCTCGACCAGCAAGGAAGACACGACCCGAACTCTTCTTCAAGCAGTTTATTCAGGAACCTTGAACAAGCTTCTTCTTCCGCCTCCTTCCCTCTCCCATCCCTCTTATAGCCATCAGCACACCAATCAAAAGCAGCCAAGTGGCAAGGATTGATAGGTACAGCAATGCGGAAGCCGGAAGGGAGCTCAGCCATCTCCTTATTAGGAGTTGTTTGTTTCTCGCCAGTCCTTCCGGGGGAAAGGAGCCGGCGCCATCTTTAGGGCGCCGTGCAATGGCTCCCCACAACTGTGTAATTTTTCTATTTTTTTCTTGTGTTTTTTTTTTCTTGGTATGACTGAAAAATTTCCAAAGATTGACTGTCCAGGCTGGACTCTGCCACACTGTCCCTCTGGCTATACCACTACAGGTTGCTGTAGTTTGATCTCACCTCTGTCTCCAAGCTGGTGCCTTCTCTGGCTCTTGGCTGTTGGAGTCACATGTTGTATCTGTGTTCATGCGGCATGTCTGCACCTTCTACACAGGTCCACAGAGTTCCTCTTCCTACCATAGAATTTCCACTGCAGTTTTCTCCCTAATTCTCCCCTGAAAGTGTAACTCCTACACTCTATTTTTTTTAAGTATTTTTCCCTGTCCTAGCATAGTTCATCATTCCCTATTCCACCATCTTGGAATCCCTACTATGTAATCTTTTAAATTTAGTTTGTTTCATTCAATATAATGCCTTTAAGAGTCATTCAAATTGTGTGTTGATAATTTGTTAATTTTTTAATATTATATGTATGAAGACTTGTCAGTTATGTTTTTTAAAATTCTTTTATAACCAGCTCTCTGCTGTGGCCAGGGAGTGCAGTGGAGGATGGCCCAGGTGCTTGGGCCCTGCACCCCATGGGAGACCAGGAAAAGCACCTGGCTCCTGGCTCCTGCCATCGGATCAGCGCAGTGCGCCGGCCGCAGCGCGCCGGCCGCGGCGGCCATTGGAGGGTGAACCAACGGCAAAGGAAGACCTTTCTCTCTGTCTCCTTCTCTCACTGTCCACTCTGCCTGTCAAAAAAAAAAAAAAAAGATTTAAAAAAAAATTCTTTTATAAGAAACCATTTGATACATGTTCCCTAATGGATGGATTTGTACTCATATTAAATAGTAGATGAGGCAGTTTGGTGTGGTACAGCATCTATCAAACTGCATTACTTTAATCTGTAATGGTATTCGGGGGGAAAAGGGGAGCTGTAATTAAATAAATTTGAGAAATAAACATATTTATCATTGCTCAAAATCTTTAATATGTGGAAAGAAATATAAAATTTCTCAATTTAGATGTGGTTTTGAAGGTACTTGTCAAATTATTAATTTTATTTATTTACTGAAGAACAAATATTAAACTATATATGAAAGATACAGGATTTAGAGTCTGGTTTAAATGTTTGTCATGGCATTCACTAACAAGGTATTTAACTTGCTAATCCTAGATTGCTCTTAGACAAAATGGAATTAATACTATCTTTATTATGGTTGCTTTGAGGATTACATAAAATTTACTTTGTGTATACACATAACATAATATATGTCACATTGAAAGCATTAAGTAAATTGTAGCTATATTACCAGACATAGCATATATTAGTATTTAGGAATATAGACTCTGGAGTCTTTTCTATCTCAATTTTCTTTTGGGTTTTCCTGCTTGTTACTTAACCTCATTAACAGAATAAATACAGTACTTATGAGGATATAATGTGATAATTAAATATGTAATAAAATTAGCAATGAAAAGTTTCCTGAGTATTTTTCTGGAGAAGTAACTTTTCATTCAGTCATTCAGTAGTTTACAGAGAGTGAAGTATGTATCAACACTGAACTTCAGGCCCAATGTTTTCTGATGCAGTGTTGTTGGAACAGAAGTGTTAAACTCTTCCTTTATTAGAGTATTAGAACATTTTTCTAATGTGTATAAAAAAAGGAAAAGTACATTGCTCCTTATTTTGTGTTTAAATTAATACTAGATAATGAGAGTAAATTCCAGAAGATAATTAAAGTTACCACTTAGGAAAAGATAATACATTCTCCAAGTCACAGTCTTTTATCCAAACTCACTAACAAATGTATAAAAGCATATACTGTTTTATAAATATTAGGAATATATTTTTATGAATTATAAATACTTTTTAAATATGCAAAAAGCTTAATAATATAAATGTATCTTTTGTGGAAAAAGTAAGTATGATTGTTATTGCCATCATTAATGGTATGGTCATTTACTATGTAAAATGATAGATGCAGGACTAACACTCAAATCAGACAATGAAGAACTCAGGGGAAGTAAGTTAGAACATCTTAGCTTATTGTGCTTACAACTCAAATATGTCAAAATATTATGACAGAATTAATAAGAAAAAATATTCAGTTTATATATGTAAGTTTTATGTAGGATTTGATAGAAACTTTAAAATTTTTGATTGTTATATAATCAGAATAAGATTAGCAAATGTTTGTCCGCAGTGCAAAATAGAAAAAGAAGGTAAATTTTAGAATGATTCCTCAAAACAAGTATATTCTTCAATTCAGCACACAGATGGAAGTCTTAAAGGAAGCATGTTCTCAAAGAACTTAATACACTAAAAGGCTAGTTCTTTTTGAAAACTTTGTTAGACTGTGTCTTCTCTGCTGGGGGCAGCTCTTTGTGCTACAGCCCCTCACACCCTGACACTGTTTGCCTGCTCCAAATTGTTCTCTACTCCATCCTTGGTCAGGAGCACCTCACAGTTGCATTGGTGCTCAGAAGACCTGGGTAACTGACAAATGAGTGCCTGAGCTTCTTGGCAGTCCTGTGTCCCCTGTCCTCATTCCTCCAGGGCCATAGCTTCCAAACCAGCACCATCTCAAAGGACATTGGCACAGCAATCAAGTTCATTGGGGGCTAGGGCCATCATGGTAGGGGTAGCTGGCCCTGGGGCTATACTGGGGAGTCTCATAATTGGTTATGCCGGGAACCCTCTTTGGATGCATGCTGCTCTTCTACGTGATTCTGGGCCTTGCCCTCTGAGAGAGCATGGGGTGTTTTTGCCTGATGGTGGCCTGTCTCATCCTGTCTGCCATGTGAAAGAATTGTCTCCACCTCTCAGAGTTGTTGTTTCTCCTGTGCCTCATCTTCTCTCTATGTTCCTTTTCCTATAACTTCCCAGGTGACCTGGGGAAAGTGGCTAAGGGTTTGACAGAGGGAAAACAAATAAATACTGTAAAAACTTTTTTAGAGAAGAATATTTTCAATTTAGTATTTGCTTCTTGAAAATACTTCATAGCAGTTTTTTCCTTTTGGACACATACAGTAGAAATATAGAGGTATTGATTTTGATAAAAAGAAAAATAGAGAAGCTGTTTAATAAATTTCAGACAGCTATAATATACTATAGAAATCCTAACCCCACTCTACTATCCAGTTGTATCTTACAAAGTAATAGACCAAAATAGTGGTTTGAAGTTAATTAAGCAAGATAACTAGAGCTGGTTGGTCATAGGTACAGCTGAGGAGATTATACTTACCTTTGGTGAACTCTTTTTGCCTTACATGCTAGCCTTCTCCATCTTTATATTATAACTACAGAAAGTCCACTATCTTGAATTTTTGTTACTGTCTAACATTCTGGGCTTTCCATTGTCACATTTTATTTCTTTTGTTTCTTACACATTTGGGCCTCAAATGCCAAGTAGTTAATCTGAAATTCTAACATAGACCAATATTCTAATGGGTATGATTCAAAGTTTGGGAACCAACCAATTTATGTGACGAGTTAGTGAACATTTCCATTGCTCTCCAACTTCACTGATATTTCCTAGTCCTACACAAACATTGTTGGCATAATCCATTAGTTATTTTAACGATGAGAATATGCATCCAGCAAAGGAGAAATGGTGGAATAGTAGGTTGTAGAATAAGAATTTGGGGACCAGGAAAGTCTTTTGTGCCTGTCAAATTACATTATATATAATTCCCACCAAGCATGTTCTTTAAAGGTTCAGTCCTATGACTGTGTCATCATCTTAAATGAACTTCATAGTCTCATTAATGTTCCTTTCCTGTTTAGTGAACCATTCATAATATTCTCTGGTGGGCTGTCCTATGACAAAGCTTGTAGAAGACCAAGTTTAACCATCATGCATGGAAAAGCAATTACAGTGCTTGAAATGGATCATCCTATTGTTGAATTTCTAACTTTATGTGAAACACCCTATCCAAACGGTAAGTAACTAAAGCAAAACTGTTAATGTTGCAAAATCATTTTTTGAAATGACAAGTTCTTAACAAAATTAAGGTTAAATATTTTCAGTTTGGCAGCAGATGTCCACTGTCGTACAACACTGTGAACTACAGGTGCTGGAGCAGGTCTGCAATTGTACCTACTTGACAGACTGGAAATAAGACACATGTAGTGTGGCAGTGCTGGCGTTTCAGGTTCTAATTTCAGGTGAGTGCTTTAAACTTTGATAAGGATGGTGGAAGCTGAGCTGGGAGGATCGGATAGGGGTCTGGGGTGAAATCACTTGGGGAAACTGAGGTCTCCTAATAGTCTCTCCTAGTCCAGCTCCACCCATCCCATTCCAAAGCCAATCAAAGTTAAAGCACTTACCTGGTATCAGTGATCTGTAACTCTGGTGATGCTGTATCTGTTTCAAACCTGGCTTTGCTTCAGATGCAACTGCAGCACCTCTGATTACTCCAGGATTGCTGATGTGTGGTTAGAAATTTATTTCAGTTTTGAGAATAATCATAAGGATCTTCTACAAGAGAGGTGCCTACATGTTCTTTTTTATCATCCTGTAAACCTAAAACCTATTCTGGGAAATGTTGCACTCATACCCATATATCTAAAAACTTCCGTCTGAATGCAGACTGGGCTCTCGGTTTTTTCCTGATACCCCCCTGCTCTGTCAAGTATATTCTCTTCATTCAACTTGGCTAGCTAAAAACAAAACTAAATTCATATGAAAACTGTATAACCAAATCAGTTGACAATGAAATATTTTACTAATGAACTCTTTAAAAATGACAAGAGTGAAAACATAAAAAGGAAATAAGAGTTGATTATTGATAAAAAAAAATGGCTTGTATACACATTAGTAATTTTCAAGAGGGAGCATGTAGACACTGGGGAAAGAACACTGCACATGAGGAGAGAATATTTGGATTTCTTATTTAGCCTTATCACTTACTAGGTATGTGACCTTGGGTAAATCAATATTTATGAATGTTTTATCATTGTAGAATGAAAATAATAGTATCATCCCCACATGATTATTAGAAACTCAAGCAAACATACTTTGTAAACTATAAAAAATATATTTTCTGAGTTATATTACTAAATCTATTTTAAATTATTTAATTTCATGTTAAAAATCGGATAAATTATAATAAGTATAGCATTTTATTTCCAGAATTACTAGAGACAGGCAAATCATGTATGTTGTCAATTAATCAGCAAATATTTATTGAATACTTACATGGCATCAGTACATCATAGACTGGTTGAACACAATCGTATGAAACTGACCTCTGATATCATATTACATAAAATCTGATTAAATGAGTAAGATAATTATGATTTGTTAAGTTTAAATAATGTAAAACCTTAATTAAATGCTGAATTTTATGGTTCAAGTATAAATAATATAACAATTTATTGACTAGTTAAATGGTTAATGACTTAAATATTCATGCAAAGCTTCATGGAGAAATTGGATTTAGTAGGCCTTGGAAAGGATATTGCCTAATGGTTTTAGAAACTGTGAAGTTTTATAGTGTGAAATCAATTTTGAGAAAAATTGAAATCTTTTTGGATATGTTTGGAAGTAGAGAATCAAACAGGAATTTTGAGGAAACACTAAAATGAAAGCAATAGTTTAGTAAGATTTGCCAAAAAGAAATATGTGGGTTGAAGGAAAACACTGAAATCTGAAGTTCCAGATTCCAGTGGGAGGCTTTTATAATGTGCATTTAAACTGATCAAGGCCTGAAGCAGAGTGCTACCTGAAGGAGTGGAATGAGAAAAAAACTGTTGAATTTGTTGAACTACTAGTCTAGGCAGTGACATGATAGATGAGATAACTACATATTTTAAGAGCATGGTTTCACATGCAATACTAGCTGTTTTTGGAAAGAGAAAGGTGAGATGAGACTGAATCAGTAGTTATTTAGAAAACAAAAAGAAAAGATCTTACAATATTTATTTATGAATCATCAGAAAAAAAGTGTTTGGGGGGGGTCATGAGACTGAACAATGATAGAATAAAATAAGAATAGAAGATGAAAAGCCAAGCTTAAGAAAATGCCTCCTAATAAGAGCCTTGAGGAAGATATGCCAGGAATAGGAACTGAATGTGTGGCTGCAAAGATAAAACACTTCATGTCTGTGTATGTAAATTTCTGCACATCAGTGGAGATATTGAGACAATTTCTAATGTTTCATAACACATAAATGAACCATAATCATACTTATTCACTTCCATGTCACATATATAGATATTTTTTTCAGGGAGGTGATAATGAAGATCAAATTTTTCATTTCTCAGGAGCTAGAAGTAGTTAACTTTGCTCAGTAAAATGCAAATTTGTTCTATTAACTATTTAAATGTATCCAACTATTAAAACAGTTAATACATGAAAATACCAGGAAAAAACCTAACTGTGCACAGCTGTATAAAATGAAATTTTTATGCCCTTTTTCAGAGGCAGTGTAAGTTTCTTATATATCCGTGCACATGCATATATGTACTCATTTATTTATGTGTAAATGATCTCCTTTTTGTATTAAACACAGCATACCCAGCAGGCAATTTTGCTCTTTATTTTCACTTAACTGTGTAATTTTAATTTCATGTTATCAAATATATAAATTCAGCCTTCTGTACAGCCCACATAGTGATAAGTGTTGTGCATATGTTAAATGAAACAAATTTTTTAATGTTTTATTATTGCTGAAACATTTATGACATCTGACAATTAACTTATTTCTTAAAGAGCACAAATACTTCAGTGCTTTTAACTGAGGTGGCACTGCCCAGAATAATTAACAGACTATAATCGGAATTTGTTTAACATCTAGATTTAACTGTTTCCATTCCTCTCCAACCCCATACATAATAATGAGTTTATTTTTTTAAAAATAGTAATTATAATAGAGCTTTTCACTCCATTGAGGGCTACAGTTAAAAACTGAGCCTGCTCAGAAATAAACCAATGTAATAAAGGAAATAGTACAGTTTTTACCTATTGAGCAGCTACTATGTCCTAGGCTTTGCTTTCACCATTTCATATACATTGTTTCATCTATCCTTCATAACAACCTAAGGCAGTTATCATTGTGCCATTTCAATTGGAAAGAAATTGAAGGTCAAAAAGATAACTGATTTGCTCTTTGTAAGTAGTAGCCATAGAATTGACTCTAACATTGACTGCTAAAGAAATCTTTTCATTCACTGGTCAATAGTACACAGCGTATTGCTATAAAGGTGAGTCTTCTGCTGTCAGTTTGTATTATTTGAAAAGGGCTAACAATAATCTAAAATGTATACAAATTACCTAAAATTATAATTTATCTATTTATGAATTTAGCTCATTCAGGACTGTGTCTTAGCTTTCCCATTTTTGTAGCGTTTCCTTCCTAAACAGTGATATCCCTAAAGAGGAGAAAAGGCAAAGAGGAAATAACTAGTCATACAGAACCCCTTTGTTCTTCACACTGAAAAGCAAAATATCACCCAGATGTGTTGAAAAAATCGTATAGAATTCTAAATATTGCTTTACTGAATTATACCATATAAATGACTATATAACCTTCTTACCTGCACGTTATAATAATTGTCACAAATCCCCCACTTTATGATGTCAGTATCTCTGTTTCAAGAAAAAATAGCGTATGTATGTATGTATATAATGTCTGCAGATGAAGTCATTGTGGTAAAATGTTAAAAATAATCAAATTTTAAAACTAAAAAGTAACCTGTATAAAAATAAAAAGAAAATGAAAAATGTTTTAAATATTTAAGAGACGGTGAGAAAGTAGAAAGTCTCAATTTGAGAAAAATTGCTCTACCATATGACTCAGCCATCCCACTCCTGGGAATTTACCCAAAGGGTATGAAATCAGCATATGAAAGAGTTACCTGTTTCCCATTTTATAGCATCTGTATTCACAATAGCTAAGATATGGACTCAATCCAGATGTCCATTAGCTGATGACTAGATAAAGAAAATGTGGTATTTCTACACAATGGAATTCTGTTCAGCCATAAAAATGAAATTCTGTGTTTAACAACAAAATATATGCAATTGGAAATCATTATGCTTAGTAAAATAAGCCAATTTGAAAAGATAAATATCATATATTTTCTCTGATTTGAGGCAGATAATATATGAAGTACAAAAAAGAGGTAATGTATGAGTGAAATTGACTTCTTGAGATTTGATTATTATTTATAGTCCTTGTCTATAATCCTGAGGAACAGTGGCCTTTCTACTTTTTATTGTTGAATTCTTTTTATAGTGGATGATCAAGTTTGTGGTTATAAAGTAAATTGGAAGTTTGTTCTAGCAAAAATTAAAAGAAAAATAAGAAAGGGAGAAGGAGAAATGGCGAAGCACCATTATGTTCTTAAAACTGTAGCGATGAAATTTGTTCTCTTTGTATAAATAAATAAATAAATAATAAATAAAACTTTAAAAAGTCTCAGTTTCAGAACACTTTGGATAGCAAAGAGCATACCGACTAATAGATATCATCACATAGATATATGCCCAAACAACAGTGCATGCCTGCTCTTTCTCAGGTTTTTGTTTGTGTTTTATGATTTTTTGTTTTGTTTTTAGTTTTTCTCACATATGTGTGATTTATAGACATAAATACAAATAGACTCTCTAGATTTTCAGGAATGCAAGGACTATGAAGGCCTTGATTGCAGTATTTTAATATCCCATCCTCTTAACTCAAATCCCTTCCAAGTGATTGTTGAGTTTAGGATTGAAAACTTACAAAACAGTTAGTAGAAATTGCTGTTATATGAAAGCAAGATGGAATTTACAGTCAGAAGGCCTGGATTAAAGTTTTAGCTCCTTCACTTGCTTGTGGCGTAGCCCTGTGTCAGTTTTTTTACCTCTTTGGACATCAGTCTTCTCCATAAAATGGAAAAATAATGATACCTGCTGTAGCCACTGATAATCAAATATCACGAATATAAAATATTTTCTATAAATATCACTTTCCTTAATTCAAAAATAATTATTTCACTGTAGCTTTCCCTTACCAGTTATTTATTGCACATGGAAAACAATAACTGCTTTACCTACTCAAAATTAACACCACACAACCACAAATCATGTTTATATCATTATGTTTTTTATTTTTTCATAGTTCACACTACTTTTTATTTATTTTTAAAGATTTGTTTGAAAGGTATATTTACAGAGAGAGAAGAGACAGAGAAAGATCTTCTATCTGCTGGTTCACTCCCCAGTTGGCTGCAATGACCCGGACTGGACTAGACTGAAGCCAGCAGCTTCTTCCATGTGGGTGCAGGTGTCCAAGCATTGGGCCATAATTCACTGCTTTCCCAAGCACATTAGCAGGGAGCTGGTTCAGAAGTGGTACATCCGGGACTCAAACTGGCACCCACAGGGGATAACTATGCCACAGTGCTGGCTCCTCATGTTGCTTTTTAAAATTCTTAATGTTTATTTATTCATGACTTGTAAACATCTCTAGAACATTTTTGCAAATCCTAAACACCTTGTTAGTCTTGTTCTCCATATGTTTTTTCATTCTTTAAATAGTTTCTGTAAAATATCAGCACAGAGAGAAAAGGTTAAATTTTAGGAACTTGAAAATCTTAGACTATCCTCATACTCTGCTTTTTTTTAAATGTATCTACTAGGCACAAACTAAATGATGTATAAATATGTATTGTAACATTAAATTGAAAGAAAATGTTTTAGTATACACAGTTTTGCTTTCATAAGGAGATATCCCAGAGAAACAGAATTATTTCCTCAGTACAAGATGTATACGAATTTATTTGTTAGGGTCCAGCACTGTGGCTCAGCAGGTTAAAGCTGTGGGCTGCGTGTCGGCATCCCATATGGGTACCAGTTGTAGTCCTGCCTGCTCCATTTATGGTCTAGTTCACTGCTAAAGGGCCTAGGAAAACATCGAAAATATGGCCCACATGCATGTACATGTCTCCAAGTAGGAGACCCAGAGGAAGCTCCTGGCTCCTGACTTCCACCTAGCCTAGCCCTAGTCATTGTGGCCATTTGGGGACTGAACCATGGGATAGAAGATCTTTCTCCCTCTCTCCCTCTCGCTCTGAAATAAATAATAAATAAATCTTTAACAAAACACAGGTCACAATATGTTGTATTATTCTCAATTTAAAATATATACAGTTAGCTCCAAATTACTGACATTATAGAATAATGTTTGTGAAATGAAGCTTAACTTATTTCATATAATCTACCTTCACTAACCCATGATTATCAAGACATAATTAGCAGTATATTATACAGTTTCTAATTTTTTTCTTCTTCTCTGTAGTGATCTAACATTGACAATCACAGCATTTTTAAAGTGCTCTCCTTTCTTAAAAGATTATTTATTTGAGAAGTAGAGTTACAGAGAAAAAGGTCTTACATCTGCTGGTTCATTTCCCAAATGGCTGTAACAGCTGGAGCTGGACCAATCCAAAGTCAGGAGTTTCTTCCAGGTCTCCCAAGTTGGGGTATGGACCCAAGCACTTGTACCATCTTCCACTGCTTTTCCAGGCCATAAGCAAGAGCTGGATCAGAAAAGGAGCAGCCGGGACTTGAACTGGCACTTATATGTGATGCTGGTGCCACAGGCAGAGACTTATACTATGCCATGGCGCCAGCCCTAAAAAGTACTCTTTATTCTTATTTGGTTCTTATTTTGCTCTTCTCAAGTCATTCAACATTTGTGTAGGAGATAAAGGTAATATAAGGTTGTTATTTTATAAAATATACAGTATGAAAACATTTCTATTTCTATTTTTACTTTTAGAATTTCAAGAACCCTATGCTGTAGTGGTGCTTCTGGAAAAAGATCTCATTGTAGTTGATCTGACACAAAGCAAGTAAGTTGTCCATGTACAGATAGCTATATTTTAAAATATTGTTACAATTAAGATGCAAAGGTACATTTTGGCATTAGTATTTTTTGGATGGTATATATTATTTATGTGAACAGTATTTTGCTAAAATTACAGAAGTGCAATTTTGTTGAGTGTTGACAACTAAATCGGGAAAGTTTGGCTAACACTGAAAAAATTGTAAGACATCTCAAATGCAGCACCTGATTTTTAGACAAGAGCATTTGGAGATTCAAGATACAAAATGAATCAAATTTCTGGAGACTCTTTAAGCTAAAGAAGTTATAAGGAAAACATGTTCAATCTAATGGGTGGCTATCTTCTACTCTATTGATTAGAGGAAATTTCACTAAAGGAAAATTATACTTGATGAAAGTAGTGTTGAACCTCAGCATACAATACAGAAGTCCAAGATCTCAGGGGCAGGGAATATGGAACTTTCTTTTCTTTTCTTTTGCTTTTACATTATTTTGTAGGTGATTGAAAGAAATATAGAATACTGCTATCACAGTATCACAATGGTACTCTCCACTCCTTTACATTGATAGTGCCCATCAATTTCAAGTCTACTTTAACTATCTTCCTGCTACATAAATGATGATAGACATGAAATTAATTTTTGATTATGTATAAGTTCTAGATCCTTTTTTCAGCCCCTTTTATCTAAAACAAAATTTTTTACATTCTCTCTTCTCTACCTGCAGTAATCTTCCCTTCCTTTTCTCCTATCAACATATTATTTGTATGAATCTCAACTCAGATGCTGCCTCTAAATTAAAAATAAATCTGTATTTGTCTCTTTAATTTGGTCAAGTATCCCTATATAGGATCTCATAGCCCTGCATTTTTTTCTTTTAGCTTTTGAGACACATGCAATTTCCATTTGGTGTTAAAGATCATCTCCGTACTAAACTGTAGACTCCATGAAGAGAATATTGTATCTTTGTGTGGAGTTAACTCTCAGTAATTTTTTGTTGAATAAATTATACTCTTAATTATGCTTTCCATATAGTTTGTAAATGTAAGACCTAAATTAGCTAAATCTGTAAATTAGCTAAATTTTTGCTAATTTACATTATATAATATCTGCATTTTGAAAAGGATTTATAATTGACCATAAGGTCAGTATAATTGAATTCTACCTAGCTGCCCCATTAAACTTAATTGAATTTTATATACAGGCAAGAGTTTATGCTTCTTCCTCTAAGAAGTTCTAATATAAGTTTTATTAAATTATATTTTTCTGATCTCATTGGTACTCAGTTCTTCATTCTGTGTGATATTTCTTGGTTCCTAATACCTTGTCCATTTGTCTAACATTCTCCAAGTCCCACCATACTTTCCTTTTAATGCTCACTTTCTTTAGCATGCACACATTTATACTTTTGCTTTAAATTGTTCTTATTGTGGTGAAATGGGGATCATATAAAAGTTTTTTATACAAATAAACTATACTTTTCATTATCTAACTATGTGAATCAACATTTTTGGCAAGTTTTTATCTAGCATTTCACCTGCTTTAGCACCATGTTTTGAAACTTATATGATTTCCCCAAGTCATTGTATATTACATGAGATGGAGCTTGTCAAAATTGAATGTATTTTTTTCCCTCCAAATAGTTTTCTCACAGATATGTTAAATGTGAAACAAGTTGTGGATTTGGAGTCCTTTACAAATTCCTCCTCCTTCCATACCTCCCTTTTTACTTTCTTTTACTTCATTAAATTCTCCATGTGAAGGTCAACTTTAGGATTGCAGTGTTTTCCATCTCTTGGTTTATGAGATATATACTTTCATTTCCATTTCCACAACACCAGTTTTATAAGTTGACATCTATATTCTTTTTTTAATTTTATTTAAGATATGTAAATTTCATCTATTTCATATATACAGATTTAGGGACATAGTGATACTTCCATCCTATGCTCCCTCCCACCCCAGACTTCGTCCTCCTCCTCTCTTATTTTCTCTCTCTCTCTGAATTTTTACGATTTACTTTCATTTTACTGTACATGCATAAGATTAACCCTACACTACACAAAAAGTTAAACAAATAGTAAGAAGGAAAAAAAACTTTTACATAATAGAGGCAAGAGCTGTAAGCAATCATTGAATCTTGAAATTTTGATTTCCTATACATTTTTGTTCCTCTTAATTACCACAGATCAGAGAAAACATAAGGTATTTGTCCCTTTTGGACTGGCTTATTTCAATAAGTACAGTGGTTTCCATTTGCATCCATTTTGTGGCAAAAGACAGGATTTCATTTTTTATGGCTCAGTAGTATTCCATAATGTATGTATGGCATACTTTCTTTAAGGTCATCTGTTTATGGACAGCTTGGTGATTCCATATATTAGCTATGGTGATTTGAGCTGCAGTAAACATGGGGGTACAGATAACTCTTTCATATGCTGATTTCATTTCCTTTGGGTAAATTCCCAGGAGTGGGATGGCTAGGTCATATGGTATATCTGTTTTCAGATTTCTGAAATATCTCCATACTGTCTTCAACAATGGCTGTGCTAGTTTACATACCCATTGACAGTAGATGAGGGTACCTTTTTCCCAACATCCTCACCAACATTTATTGTTGTTGATTTCTGTAGGGGAGCCATTCTAACTGGTGTGAAGTGAAACCTCACTGTGTTTTTGATTTGCATTTCCTTGATGGAAAGTGATGCTGAGCGTATTTTCATGTGTCAGTTTGCCATTTGAATTTCCACTTTAGAAAAATACCTGTTCAAGACCTTTGCCCATTTCTTAACTGGATTATTTGTATTTTTTGTTGAGTTTCTTGAGCTCCTGATAGATTCTGGATATTAACCCTTTATCAGTTGCATAGTTTGCAGATATTTCTCCCACTCTGTTAGCTGCCTCTTTACTGAGTGTTTCCTTTGCAGTACAGAAGCTTCTGAGCTTCATGCAATCCAACTTGTCAGTTTTGGCTTTGATTGCCTGAGCTTTTGGAGTCTTTTCCAAGAAGTCTTTGCCTATGCCAATGTATTGCAGACTTTCCCCAATGTTCTCCTCTAGTAACTTGATGCTATCAGGTCATAGATTTAGGTACTTGATCCATTTTTAGTTCATTTTTCCATAATGTGTAAGATAGGGGTATTGTTTCATACTTCTGCATGAGGAAATCCAACTTCTCCAGCACAATTTGTTGAACATGAATCCTTTCTCCAGGGAATGATTTTAACTCCTTTGTCAAAGATTAGTTGGTTGTAGATACATGGATTGACTTCTGGAGTTTCTGTTCCATATCATTGGTCTATATGTTTGTTTTTGTGCCAGTACCAGGCTGTTTTGATTATTATAGCCTTTTAGTATGTCTTGAAATCTGGCATTGTGGTTCTTCTAGCTTTGTTTTTGTTATAAGATAGCTTTAGCAATTTGGGATTTCTTGTATTTCTGTATTAATTTTAGCATTGTTCTTTCTGGATTTGAGAAGCATTTCCTTCATATTTTAACTAGGATTGCATTGAATTTGTAAATTGCATTCGGTATTATGGACATTTTGACATTACCTCTTCCAATACACAAACATAGAACTTTTTCCATTTTTTTGTGTTTCTTCTTCTATTTCATTCTTTTACATTTTATAATTTTCATCATAACCTCCTTGGTTAAATGTATTCCAAGGTATTTAATATTTTTTCAGCTATTATGAAAGGGATTGATCTTAGAAGTTCCCTCTCAGCCATAGTGTTGTCTGTGTATCCAAAGGCTATTGGTTTTTGTATTAATTTTATATCCTGTCACTTTAATAAATGCTTTCATGCATTCCAATAGTCTCTTAGTGGATTCTTTTGGATCCCCTGTTTATAGAATCATGTCATCTGCAAATAGTGATAATTTTACTTCCTCCAATGGAATTTCTATCCCTTTGATTTTTTTTCTTGCCTAATGGCTCTGATAAAAGTTCCAAGACCATATTGAATAGTTATGGTGAAAGAGAGTATCCTTGTCTGGCTCTGGATCAAAGTGGGAATGCTTCTAACTCTTCCCTATTCCATAAGATGCTGGCCGTGGGTTTTGTAATAAATTGTGCTAATTGTGTTAAGGAATGTTCTTTCTATACACAATTTGCTTGAGGTTTTCATCATGAAAGCATGTTGTTTTTTATCAAATACTTCCTCTGCATTTTTTGAGATAATCATATGATTTTTGTTCTGTTTGTTAATGTGATGTATCACTTTTATTGATTGGGTAATGTTGAACCACCCCATTATACCAATGCTAAATCTCACTTGGTCCAGGTGAATCATCTTTCTGATGTGTTGTTGGATTCGATTAACTAGTGTTTTGTTGAGGAGTTTCATATCTATGTCTGTCAGATATATTGGTCCATGGCTTTCTTTCCCTGTGGTATCTTGTTCTAGTTTAGGAATTAAAGTGATGCTGACATTATAGTAGGAATTTGGGAGCATTTCCTCCCTTTCAATTGTTCTGAATAGCTTGAGAAGAATTGGAGTTAGTTCTTCCTTAAATGTCTGGTAGCATTAAGCAGTGAAGCCATTTGGTCCTGGGCTTTTCTTTGTCAGGAGAAATTATTAATTTATTAATAAATTATTAATGTAATCTCCATCTTGGTTATTGTTTAGGTTTTTCTGTGTCTTCATGACTCAATTTAGGTAGGTTTTATGTGTCCAGGAATCTATCCATTTCTTCTAGGTATCTCAAATTGTTGGCATTCAGCTCTTTGTAGTAATTTCCAATGATTCTTTTTATTTCTGTGGTATCTGTTGTTACATCTTCTTTTTCATCTCTAATTTTATTGTTTGTGTTCTTCTTCTCTTTTTTTGGATAGTTGTGCCAATGGTGTATCAATTTTGTTTTTTTCACAAAACTATTCCTTCATTTCACAGGTCTTTTGTATTTTTTTGTTTGTTTTGTTTATTCTGCAATTTTAACTGTTTCTTCCTACTAACTTGTTGTTGGGCTTGTTCTTGTTTTTTTTTTTTTTTAATGTTCTTGAGATGTATTGACAGCTCATTTATTTGGTACCTTTCCAAATTCTTAATATAGGCACCAATAAATATTCCTCTTAATACTGATTTTGCTGTAGCGTATAAGTTTTGATACGTTGTATCATCTTCATTCAGTTCTAAAAAATTTTTATTTCTCTTGATTTCTTCTATAACCCACTGTCATTCAGGAGCATATTGTTTGGTCTCCATGTGTTTGCATATGTTCTAGAGATTCTTGAGTTGTTTCTAGCTTCATTCCATTGTGGTCAGAAAAGTTGCGTGGTATGATTTCAATTTTTTTTGAATTTGCTGAGGCTTGTTTTATGGCCTAGCATATGGTCTATACTTGAGAAAGTTTCATGCATTGGTGAGGAGACTGTGTACTGTGCAACTGTAGGATGAAAAATTCTGTAGATATCCATTAGGTCCATTTGGTCTATAATGTCGCTTAACTGTTGTTTCCTTGCGGATTATCTGTCTAGTTGGTGTATCCATTGCTAAAAGTGAGCTATTGAAGTCCTCATTACATACACTCTATATATACAATATAATACAATATATAGAAATATATTTGTATCAGAATCTGTGTCTCCCTTTAGATCCATTAATATTTCTTTAAATAGCCAGGTGCCCTATAATTAGGTACATATACACTTATAATAGTCACATCTTCCTGGTAAATTGATCACTTAATCATTGCATAGTGCCCTTCTTTGTCTCTTTTAACAATTTTTGTGTTAAAGTCTATTTTGTCTGCTCTTGGGATGGCTACACCATCTCCTCTTTGGTATCTGTTAGCATGGAATATCTTTTTCCATCCTTCTACTTTCAGTATGTGTGCATCTTTTTAAATAAGATATGTTTCTTCTAGACATATTACATAGATCTTTAAATTACTGCCAAGAAAAAGAGAAAAACTTGCCTGTGTGAATGCCTCCCTTTGAAAAACCTTAGAATTTACTGATATTATAATATTTATAAGTATTTAGGTAAAGTTTTACATAAAGTGCTTAGTTGGTATAATTTTAAAGAAATTGTCAAATTGTTGCATAATATTTTAAGTTTATTACAATTCTATGTGTCCGTATTCTAAATACAACTTGACTTCAATGTTGAAATTCTGGAGAGCATATTTTTTATTTGTTAAAATCTTACCAATATCAGTATTATATTTTCAGAGAACTATTTAAAAGGAACATTACTTTTGATTTTTATTTTATAGTACTTGAAAAACAGTTGAATATATGATAAATATCTAGAAACATTTTAGAGCTTACATTGTGAGTATTATTTCATAACTTTTATCTTTGTAAAATGATTCTAATATATTGTCTTTATCTGTTAGTTTTCCAATCTTTGAAAATCCATATCCCATGGATATTCATGAATCACCAGTTACATGCACAGCATACTTTGCTGATTGCCCTCCGGATTTGATTCTAGTACTCTATTCTATAGGAGTCAAGCATAAAAAACAAGGATACAGCACTAAGGTAAAAGCAGCAATTATAGAAGAATTATCTCACTCGTGTGGAATCTAAAATGTTGATATCATTAAGTTGAGAGCAGAATAGTAGTTAGCAAAGAATGGGGAGTGGAAGGGGCAAAGGAAATGGGAAGAGAATAGTCTATGGGTACAATGTTATAATTAGGTTGGAGGAACAAGTTTTGTTGTTCTGTTGCACTATATGGTCACTCTATGTGTATTTCCAAATAATTGGGCAATAGGATTTTCAGTGTTTTTTACCACAAAGAAATAATAAATGAATGATAGCATACTCTAATTTGATCATAATGCAATGTATTCATGTATTGAAACATCACATTATACACTTTACATATGTATGTACACACACACACACACACCCCAATCAAAAAATAAAAAGTACCCCATCCACAACTCCTAGACAAGCTGACCTGGACTAACAAAACCAGAAACCAGGGCTGCATCAGGGCAATGTGGGTTTTAATAGTTCCCCTAAGTGGCCAGTGCCGCGGTTCAATAGTCTAATCTTCTGCCTGAGGCGCCGACACACCGGGTTCTAGTCCCGGTTGGGGCGCCGGATTCTGTCCCGGTTGCTCCTCTTCCAGGCCAGCTCTCTGCTATGGCCTGGGAGTGCAGAGGAGGATTGTCCAAGTCCTTGGGCCCTGCACCCGCATGGGAGACCAGGCGAAGCACCTGGCTCCTGGCTTTGGAACAGCGCGGTGCACCGGCCACAGTGGCCATTGGGGGGTGAACCAATGGAAAAGGAAGACCTTTCTCTTTGTCTCTCTCTCTCTGTCTACTCTGCCTGTCAAAAAAAATTTTTTTTTTTATTTTTTGACAGGCAGAGTGGACAGTGAGAGAGAGAGACAGAGAGAAAGGTCTTCCTTTGCCTTTGGTTCACCCTCCAATGGCTGCCGTGGCCAGCGCGCTGCAGCCGGCGCACTGCGCTGCTCCGATGGCAGGAACCAGGTACTTCTCCTGGTCTCCCATGGGGTGCAGGGCCCAAGCACTTGGGCCATCCTCCACTGCACTTCCCTGGCCACAGCAGAGAGCTGGCCTGGAAGAGGGGCAACCGGGACAGAATCCGGCACCCCGACCGGGACTAGAACCCAGTGTGCCTGCGCTGCAAGGTGGAGGATTAGCCTACTGAGCCGCGGCGCCTGCCCTAAGTGATTCTTATGTAAGACAAAGTGTGACTACCCCAGGTCCATGAATTTTTCTTCACTGTGTAAAGAAATATTTGTGGTTATTTTCTCTAACACCCTTATTTGAAACCCAAACTGAAACCATCAGAATATGGATTAAGACTCTCCCTGGCAGAAGCCAATATCTGTTGTTTTCCCAGGGCTGTTGGGATAGACAACTCCAAGACACATCATTTACATATTATTCTGTGTCAATTTACACCACAATCATGTGGTAGTATGCAAACTGTGTGATACATGTAGCAACACTGTACAAGAATACTTCAAAAAGTCTGTTAAAAAAATGAAACTCTACACTATTCTGAGGCCAAAAAAATTGAAATCTGCACATAGTTTTTCCATTATATATATTTCCACATATTTCATGGGGTTTGTACAATTTAAAATATTTGATTTATTTATGTGAATGCTAATACTGGTTAAAATCCATATTAAAGGAGATAGATTTATGCATTCAGAAGTGCATGTTCAATGAAAAATTGAAAACCATAATTCTTGATTATTTCACAACTAAGTGAAACTTTTATTATTTTAAAATATTTTCAACTTAATACTTTATCCATTTTCGTATGTTTTTTTGTTCTACTTAACACTATTGGTTGAACTCTTTAATTAACACACAGTTATTCTTAGTCATTTAAATTTAACTGAAAAGTAATCCCTGTGAAATATAAGAGTGGGAATAAAAGAGGGAGGAGATGAACAGTTTGGCACATGCTCAATCGGACTTACCCCAAACAGTAGAGTTAGAAACATACCAGGGGATTCTAATTCAATCCCATCAACGTGGAATGTACCAATGCCATCTCACTAGTCCAAGTGATCAATTTCAGTTCACAATGGATCATAATGATAGGTCTAAGAGTCAAAGGGATCACATAAACAAGACTAGTGTCTGCTAATACTATCTGATCGAATTAAGGAGAGAACAATCCAACATGGGAAGTGAGATACACAGCAGACTCATAGAATAGCAGATGTCCTAAACAGCACTCTGGCCTCAAGGCATTCAGATCCGGTTAAAAAGCCCATGAGAGTATTTCAGGCATGGAAAGCCAAGACACTGTGGCAAAAAAAAAAAAAAAAAAAACCAAACACCTCTGGGAGTGAGATCCCAGCAGAAAGAATGGGCCATCAAAGAAGGGGGTACCTTTCTCTGAAGGGAAGCGAGAACTTCCACTCTGTCTACAACCTTATCTAAACAGATCAGAGTCGGTGAACTCAAAGGCTTCCATAGCCTTGGCAACTCATGACAAGAGCCTAGGGTGATTACTGATGCCATAAACAAGAGTGTCAATTTGTTAAGTCAACAACAGGAGTCACTGTGCACTTACTCCTCATGTAGGATCTCTGTCCTTAATGTGCTGTACATTGTGATTTAATGCTATAACTAGTACTCAAACAGTATTTTTCACTTTGTGTTTCTGGGTGGGTGCAAATTGTTGAAATCTTTACTTAGTATATACTGAATTCATCTGCTGCATATAAAGATAATTGAAAATGAATCTTGATGTGAACGGGATGGGAGAGGGAGCGGGAGATGGGATGGTTGTGAGTGCGAGGGAGGTTATGGGGGGAGAAAACCACTGTAATCCAAAAGTTGTACTTTGGAAATTTATATTTATTAAATAAAAGTTTAAAGAATATTTATTTTCTAAGTTTGAGTCACTCAAACTAAAAAAGAAAATTTACATGTTCTTTCTGTATATTCTGTTTAGGAGTGGCCAATCAGTGGGGGAGCTTGGAACCTTGGAGCACAAACATATCCAGAAATTATTATTACTGGGTAAGTGCAGTGTGTTTAATGAGTTAAGAATTCATCAACAAAATATCTTTATTCAGTTCCAACACTTTTCCATAACTGTATCTATGTAGATTAACAGTTTAATTAAAAGGAAAAATTTATGAAATAGATTCTACATAAAGATTATCATATTCATGGAAGATAGAATAAAACCCCTGTAAACATATAACTATTTTTAAAAAGAATTAAGTATAAATTATATCATTAGGAGAAAACGAAAAAGGAAAGATCATGATTAGTCAGGGAAGAATATATGTGGAAATCAGAGAATATTACCAATATCTCTTGATTGCCAGCAATCCAAGAATCACTGATTTATTTCCCTATCAAGTAGTTACTGAAAGTATGCTTCAAAGTTATGGCACCAGAAGTATCTTTACTCTGTATATTAACCCACTTCATGTTCTAATATTAGGAATTAAAAGAAAGATACACCTAAAGAAAAATATGAAATTTTGAACAATAATGGGAATTTCTGTTAATGGAAAGATAGAGTATTAAATACACTTTTCCCCATTCTTCCTACTAAGTACAACTAAAAATCTTGGGCTTTATACATAGGACAAATATAAGAGAACTGGGAAAATAGGATAAATATTTCAAGGAGTAGGGCCCCAAATCCCAAAGAACAACATGATAATGAGCTTCTTGGGTTTTCTCTCTGCCCCAAGTATCCAAGAATGGGAGCTCTACAAACTGGTAATCTAGAACTGCAAATGGGCATAGAAAAGGAAAACACACACACACACACACACAACTTTGACCACATCCCACTGTGCTCCCAGCCTAACCGACTGCAGCCAAAACTGATTGGGGAACCTAGACCATCACCTTCTCAAGCTGTAACAATATGCTCCAACCTCCCCAGAGGTCAGAAAAGGCCTCATAAGGAGAATGTATCAATCTTTCTGGGCAAAAGTCCTCCATTGTATTGTCCATAGGGACCGTGTGAGGTTCCAGAATTTCCACCACTTTCAGCAGCAATGATAAGCCACAATTACCTATCCGTTGTGGCAGTAAATGTCAAGTGAAGAAGAGAAGAAAAACAGAGGGCTGCAAAATTATTCAAGGAAATAACTATATGAAAATTTGCCAAATTTAGCAAAGCATATGAAACTGCTGATTCCAGAAGCTGAGAAAAACCCCATGAAATCCATGTTAACATATATCACAATCAAATTTCTGAACACTAAACACGAAGAGAAAACCATCTTGAATGTTACAAGAAAAAAAATGTTACCTTAAGAATAGCACAAAACCAATTTGAATCACATCAGATTGCTCATCAGAGTCCCTGGAGACCAGAAGGCCTGGCTGTATTTCATATAGGAAAAGAATTGTCAGCCCAGAATCATGTACCCAGTGAAAATCTTTCAGGAAATAAAAAGTAATAAAACATTTTCTGATGAATTAAGTTAAAAGAATTTGTGAATATCAAACATGCCCTAAAAGTATAAAGTATAGCTACTAGAAGTTCTCTCCACAAAAGGAAATGAACAAAGAAGGATCTTTGGAGCATCAAGAGAAAAGGACATGGTGAGGAAAAGTATGGATAAATCCAACAAACTTTCCTTGTCTTGAGTTTTTAAAAGTGTTTGATGGTTGGGCTTGGAGCATAGATTATAGTAGCACTGGTGTGGTTCTAAATGTACATAGAGGATATCTAACAATTTCCCATTTCTATGGGGAAAGGCTAAAAAATTAAGGCGAAATAAAACTTTTATATTTTCTTTTTTTTTTCTTTTTTTTTAACTTTTATTTAATGAATATAAATTTCCAAAGTACGACTTATGGATTACCATGGCTTCCCCCCAATACCGTCCCTCCCACCCACAACCCTCCCCTTTCCCACTCCCTCTCCCCTTCCATTCACATCAAGATTCATTTTCGATTATCTTAATATACAGAAGATTAGCTTAGTATACATTAAGTAAGGATTTCAACAGTTTGCTCCCACACAGAAACATAAAGTGAAAAATAATAGATGATTTTTTTTAAATGATGACGAAATCAGATCAGACCTATTGTCGTGTTTAATCCCAGTGAGAGTCAAGTTGGGAATTGATAATTTCTTTTTTTTTTTTTTTACAGAAGATCAGTTTAGTATGCATTAAATAAAGATTTCAACAGTTTGCACCCCCATAGAAACACAAAGTGAAATATATTGTTTGAGTACTCGTTATAGCATTAAATCTCATTGCACAGCACATTAAGGACAGAGATCCTACATGAGGAGTAAGTGCACAGTGACTCCTGTTGTTGACTTTACCAATTGACACTCCTGTCTATGGCATCAGTAGTCTCCCTATGCTCCAGTCATGAGTTTCCAAGGCTATGGAAGCCCTCTGAGTTCTCTGACTCTTATCTTTTTTAGACAAGGTCATAGTCAAAGTGGAGGTTCTCTCCTCCCTTCAGAGAAAGGTACCTCCTTCTCTGATGACCTGTTCTTTCCACTGGGATCTCACTCACAGAGATCTTTTGCCAGAGTGTCTTGGCTTTCCATGCCTGAAATACTCTCATGGGCTTTTCAGCCAGATCCGAATGCCTTTAGGGCTGATTCTGAGGCCAGAGTGCTATTTAGGACATCTGCCATTCTATGAGTCTGCTGAGTATCTCACTTCCCATGTTGGATCACTCTCCCCTTTATTTATTCTATCGGTTAGTGTTAGCAGGTACTAGACTTGTTTATGTGCTCCCTTTGACTCTTAGTCCTTTCATTATGATCAATTGTGAACTGAAATTGATCACTTGGAATAGTGAGATGGCATTGGTACATGCCACCTTGATGGGATTGAATTGGAATCCCCTGGTATGTTTCTAACTCTACCATTTGGGGCAAGTCAGCTTGAGCATGTCCCAAATTATACATCTCTTCCCTCTCTTATTCCCACTCTTATATTTAACAGGGATCACATTTCAGTTAATTTTCAACACTTAAGAATAACTGTGTGATAATTACAGAATTAAACCAGTCATATTAAGTAGAACAGACCAAAAAAACTAAAAGAGGGATAATGTATTAAGTTGTTCATTAACAGTCAGGGCTATGCTGATCAAGTCACCGTTTCCCGTAGTGTCCATTTCACTTCAACAGGTTTCGTATTTGGTGTTCAGTCATTTGTCACCGATCAGGGAGAACATATGGTTTTTGTCCCTTTGGGACTGGCTTATTTCACTCAGCATGATGTGTTCCAGATTCCTCCATTTTGTTGCAAATGACTGGATTTCGTTGTTTCTTACTGCGGTATAGTATTCTAAAGAGTACTTATCCCATAATTTCTTTATCCAGTCTACCGTTGATGGGCATTTAGGTTGGTTCCAGGTCTTAGCTATTGTGAATTGAGCTGCAATAAACATTAGGGTGCAGACGGCTTTTTTGTTTGCCAATTTAAATTCCTTTGGGTAAATTCCAAGGAGTGGGATGGCTGGGTCGAACGGTAGGGTTATCTTCAGGTTTCTGAGGAATCTCCAGACTGACTTCCATAGTGGCTGTCGCTCCCCCTCTTCGCGGAGGAACGACACAGGACCCTGCGCTGTTCTTTCGTCTGCTCGGCCCTCCCCGGGTTTGCTGCTGGTTCTTCCCGGGTTGGCTACCGTCCCTTCCACCTCTGTGGAAGGGCGGTTCCCCCTGCCACATTCCCCACTTCCGCGGGGGAGCAGCACACCGCCGGCCGGCTCTCTCGGGGGCTGCACAGGTGTTCCCTCAGATGTTCCCCTTAGATGTTCCCGGTGCATGCCGTCTCTCTCCTCCTTTATAGTCCTCTTCCGCCAATCCCAACTCGGCTGCCCACACGCCGAGTACACTGCTCTCCTCCAATCAGGAGCAGGATCAGCTCCTGGAGGTCATCACTCAAGTTGGCAAGAGGCAGCTGCGTAGAAGCTGTTTTCTCCTCTCCCAGCGCCATATTGTGGGAGAGCAGATGCATAGAATAAGTCTTAATTCCAGTAACTTAGTCTAGTCTGAGTTGCTCCCCACAGTGGCTTGACCAGTTTGCATTCCCACCAACAGTGGGATAGTGTCCCTTTTTCCCCGCATCCTCGCCAGCATCTGTTGTTGGTAGATTTCTGCATGTGAGCCATTCTAACCAGGGTGAGGTGAAACCTCATTGTGGTTTTGATTTGCATTTCCCTGGTTGCTAATGACCTTGAACATTTTTTCATGTGCCTGTTGGCCATTTGGATTTCCTCTTTTGAAAAATGTCTATTGAGGTCCTTGGCCCATCTCTTAAGTGGGTTGTTAGTTTTGTTTTTGTGGAGTTTCTTGATCTCTTTGTAGATTCTGGTTATTAACCCTTTATCTGTTGCATAGTTTGCAAATATTTTTTCCCATTCTGTCGGTTGTCTCTTCACTCTCCTGACTGTTTCTTTTGCAGTACAGAAACTTCTCAATTTGATGCAATCCCAATAGTTGATTTTGGCTTTGACTGCCTGTGCCTCTGGGGTGTTTTCCAAGAAGTCATTGCCGGTACTTATATCTTGCAGGGTTTTTCCAATGCTCTCTAATAATTTGATGGTGTCAGGTCGTAGATTTAAGTCTTTAATCCATGTTGAGTGGATTTTTGTGTAAGGTGAAAGGTAGGGGTCTTGCTTCATGATTCTGCACATGGAAATCCAATTTTCCCAGCACCATTTATTGAATAGACTGTCCTTACTCCAGGGATTGGCTTTGGACCCTTGATCAAATATAAGTTGGCTGTAGATGTTTGGGTTGATTTCTGGTGTTTCAATTCTGTTCCATTGGTCTATCCATCTGTTTCTGTACCAGTACCATGCTGTTTTGATAACAACTGCCCTGTAGTAGTATGTCCTGAAATCTGGTATTGTGATGCCTCCAGCTTCCTTTTTGTTGTACAAGATTGCTTTAGCTATTCGAGGTCTCCTGTGTCTCCATATAAATTTCAGCATCATTTTTTCTAGATCTGAGAAGAAGGTCTTCGGTATTTTGATTGGTATCGCATTGAATCTAAATTGCTTTTGGGAGAATGTACATTTTGATGATATTGATTCTTCCAATCCATGAGCATGGAAGATTTTTCCATTTTTTGGTATCCTCTTCTATTTCTTTCTTTAAGGTTTTGTAATTTTCACCGTAGAGATCCTTAACATCCTTAGTTAACTTTATTCCAAGGTATTTGATTGTTTTTGTAGCTATTGTGAATGGGATTGATCTTAGAAGTTCTTCCTCAGCCATGGCATTGCCTGTGTATACAAAGGCTGTTGATTTCTGTGCATTGATTTTATACCCTGCTACTTTGCCAAAATCTTCTATGAGTTCCAATAGTCTCTTAGTAGAGTTCTTTGGGTCCCCTAAATAAAGAATCATGTCATCTGCAAAGAGGGATAGTTTGACTTCTTCCTTCCCAATTCGTATCCCTTTAATTTCTTTTTCTTGCCTAATAGCTCTGGCTAACACTTCCAGAACTATGTTGAATAGCAGTGGTGAGAGTGGGTATCCCTGTCTGGTACCAGATCTCAGTGGAAATGCTTCCAACTTTTCCCCATTCAATAGGATGTTGGCCGTGGGTTTTTCATAAATTGCTTTGATTGTATTGAGGAATGTTCCTTCTATACCCAGTTTGCTTAGAGTTTTCATCATGAACGAGTGTTGTATTTTATCAAATGCTTTCTCGGCGTCTATTGAGATAATCATATGGTTTTTCTTCTGCAGTCTGTTAATGTGGTGTATCACATTGATTGTCTTGTGCACATTAAACCATCCCTGCATACCAGGGATAAATCCCACTTGGTCTGGGTGGATGATCTTTCTGATGTGTTGTTGCATTCTATTGGCGAGAATTTTATTGAGGATTTTTGCATCTATGTTCATCAGGGATATTGGTCTGTAATTCTCTTTCAGTGCTGCATCTTTTTCCGGCTTAGGAATTAAGGTGATGCTGGCTTCATAGAAAGAATTTGGGTGGATTCCCTCTTCTTCGATTGTTCTGAATAGTTTGAGAAGAATTGGAGTTAGTTCTTCTTTCAATGTCTGGTAGAATTCAGCAGTGAATCCATCTGGTCCTGGGCTTTTCTTTGTTGGGAGGGCCTTTATTACTGTTTCAATTTCTGTCTCAGTTATGGGTCTGTTTAGGTTTTCGATGTCTTCCTGGTTCAATTTAGGTAGGTTGCACATGTCGAGGAATCTATCCATTTCTGATAGGTTTCCCTGTTTGCTGGCATACAAGTCCTTGTAGTAATTTCTGAGGATTCTTTTTATTTCTGTGGTTTCTGTTGTTACGTTTCCTTTTTCATCTCTGATTTTATGGATTTGGGTCTTTTCTTTTTTTTGTTAGTTGGGCCAATGGGGTGTCAATTTTGTTTATTTTTTCAAAAAACCAGCTCCTCGTTTGGCTGATTTTTTGTAATGTTTTTTTGGATTCAATCCTGTTGATTTCTTCTCTGATTTTAATTATTTCTCTTTTCCTACTAGATTTGGGTCTGGTTTGCTGTAGGTTTTCTAGATCCTTGAGGTGAATTGAAAGCTCATCTATTTGGTGTCTTTCCAATTTCTTGATGTAGGCACCTATTGATATAAACTTTCCTCTTAACACTGCTTTTGCTGTGTCCCATAAGTTTTGGTATGTTGTGCTGTTATCCTCATTTACTTCCAGAAAGTTTTTGATTTCTCTTTTGATTTCTTCTATGACCCATTGTTGATTCAGGAGCATGTTGTTCAATCTCCATGTGTTTGCGTATGCTCTAGGGATTCCTGAGTTGGTAATTTCCAACTTCATTCCTTTATGGTCTGAGAAGCTGCATGGTATGATTCTAATTCTTTTGAATTTGCTGAGACTCGCTTTATGGCCTAGTATGTGGTCAATCCTAGAGAAGCTTCCATGTACTGCTGAGAAGAATGTAAAATCTTTAGCTGTAGGATTGAAAGTTCTGTATATATCTGTTAGATCCATTTGGTCTATAGTGTCGTTTAAATCTACTGTCTCCTTGTTGATCTTCTGTCCTGTTGATCTGTCTATTTCTGAGAGTGGAGTATTGAAGTCCCCCAGTACTATTGTATTGGGGTCTAAGTCTCCCTTTAAGTCCCTTAACAAATCTTTCAGATAAACCGGTGCCCTGTAGTTAGGTGCATATACATTGATAATTGTTATATCTTCTTGTTGTATTGATCCCTTAATCATTATATAGTGTACCTCTTTGTCTCTCCTAACAGTTTTTATGGTAAAGTTTATGTTGTCCGATATTAAGATGGCTACGCCCGCTCTTTTTTCATTTCTGTTGGCATGGTATATCTTTTTCCAGCCTTTCACTTTCAGTCTGTATGGATCTTTGTTGGAAAGATGTGTTTCTTGTAAGCAGCAAATAGATGGGTTTTAGAACAGGAAATTTTAAAAACGTGATTTATAAACTTGACATATATATATAAATATATATACATATATATATATATATATATGATATCACCATAAAGAAGATAAAACATTAAGCAACAAACTTCCAGAAGACAGTTGTGTAACTACCAATATTTTGAATCCAGAATATATAAATAATTTTAAATCAATAAGAAAGTGGAACCAACACAATTGAAAAATGCACAAAAAACTTGGAGCAGACCTTTGACAGAAAATTCATAGTTTGATTTCATTAATAACTAGATAGCTACAAATTAAAGCAATAATAAAATACCACTTTGCATTCAACACATATCAGCAGAAAAATTTAGAAGATTTTTAGTAATAAGTTCTAGAAAGAATGCAGATCATTAAGAATTTTTCTGTACCAAAATCAGGGTATAAATTTGTAAATTTGGGAATAGTTTAACATTATTTTCTATACTTGAATATTCTGATAGTCTTGAGACCTACTTGTTCTGTTTTATACATAAATAACAAAAGACACGCACATGGTTCTTTATAGCTTCATTATCTGTGAAAGAAAAAAGAAAAGAATAGAAAACAACTGACCCAATTGCCCAGTGACTAAAAATCTAAACTGTGTTCTACTTTAATTTAATTGCATATTAAATATAACAATGAAAGTGAACAAAATATAGCTGCAAGCAACCATATGGATGAATTTCATGAATCTGAGATGAAAAATGCCAAGTTTCTTACATTTATACACATCATGATATCCTTATTGTAACTTTTAAAAAGAAGCACAATTAGACAAAATATTTTTATATACATAAAATATATATGTGATAATATGAAAAACAGCAGCGCCCGCCTGTGGTGTAGTATGGTAAGATGCCAGAATCCCATATTGATGCTATTTTGAGACCCAACTGCTCCATTTCTGATCTAGCTCCCTGCTAAAGCACTTAGGAATGTAGCAAAAGATGCTCAGGCTCCTAATCTCATGTGGGAGACCTAGAAGAAGCTCCTGGCTCCTGGCTTCACAACAGCCTGATTTCAGAATGGCCCTGCGCCAGCCATTGTGCCATTTGGGGATTGAACCAGTAGATGGAAGATTTCTCTCTTGCTCTCTCTCTCTCTCTTTCACATAAATAAAAGCTAAATCTTACATTTAAAAGGGAAGAAAACAAGAGAATTATTTAAAAAAAAAAAGTCAGGTTAATTATTACTTCTTATTGCAAAGGAAGCGGGTAGAAACAATTTTTATGTTTTGCTTTTTACTTAGTCATTTTTTAATTTCTCTTCACTTATTGATTGGTTAACAACTCCAAAAAGATATTGAATAAAAAAGTTGAGAGTGGCCATTTTTTGCTTTGTTCCCTATCTTAGGGAGAAAACATCCAGTCTTTCACCATTATGTATATTAGGCTATTATCTGTAGGTTGTTCCGGTCATCAGGTTGAGGAAATTTCCTCTGGCCCCAGTTTACTGAAAGTTGCTTTTTATGAATGAGTGGTGAATTTTTATCAAATGCTTTTCCTATATTTAATAAGATGACCATATGGCTTTTCTTCATTAATCTGTCAATATGACTAATTATCATATGGTGACTGATATTTTTTAATGTTTAAGCTTGTATTCCTAAGGTAAAACCCACTCTTCTTGATACATTAATTCTTCTAAATATCGCTTGATTTGATTTGCTATTTTTTATGCCTATGCTCATGGGGCATATAGTTTTTAATTTTCTTTTCTTGTACTGTTTTTTATTTCTGGTTTTGATTTCAAGATAATGTTGCCCTCATCAGGTGTTGAGAATTATTATATTCTCTTTTCTAGGTGCATTTTATAAACTTCCTATTATATTTCTTAACAAATAATAATACATCTCTAGTTAGATTTAGGGATTTGAATCCTGATAATATCAAAATTAGTTCATTTTTAATTGAGTATAAGCAGGTTTACATAAAGGTGTCTTGTTCATTTTTTATAGGCCATTTTAATTACTCTCTACTGCACATAAAATATTAAAATACAAGGAATTGTTCTTTTCCTAATGTTTAGATTTTCAATTATCATTTGAAAATGAACTATTATTTTGGGCTTAGAAATGATTTATACATTAGTTTTCATTATAACGATATTTTTGAACCAAAATTTTAATGGTATCTCAAGTTTTTGTACATGTGGAGTGATTATGATTTTTATTTTTATTATACTTCAATTAATGCTAATTTTATTTTTCATCTAGTCATGCAGATGGATCAATAAAATTTTGGGATGCTTCTGCAAGTAAGTTTTAAGTTTCTCCCTGTATAACAGTAAACACTTGGTTGATATTTACTCAGCCATTCACCAGTTTTCAGTTTTGGATTTAACATTTCACATATATTTTTAGCATATATGTATATATAGCTGCATTACAAAAATCCATATCCTATATTATTAGATCAGTTTAAAGTATAATCTCTGCTGTACTTTTCTTCTGTAATATAAAACAAATAGAACTATGTCACTCTTTGTCAGCAACCCATTATATCTACAATGAACAGAGTATGCTGGAAAAAGTACAGATAACTCTGTTTAAGGAATTTCCTTTACTGCTTAGCCTTGTGTCTTGGACAAGTGCTTTTATCCTTCTAGTGTTAACTTTTCTTCTCCATGAACTTTACCCAGTCCTATGTAGATATGAGCAAGTGATTTGATAAATGTAAAAAAATATTTTAAACTATTGAAAATTATGTAAATTTAATGAATAAATAAATATTCTGTTCAATTTTGAAAGACATGCAAAAATTGTTAAGTCTTCATTATACTCATATATGCCCTTCAGAAAATTTAGTCACTAGAAAAGAAAGGAATGTATGTAACTATAGGGTAAACAGTATGGTAATTATAAATGTAGTACAACCAAATTCTGTTTGTTATTTGAAAAGAGAGACATTTACTTGGACAAGTTAGATCCAGGAAGGATATTTTAATCAGATAAAGTTTTGGAAGATGAATTTTTTACATTAGGGTATAGAAAGAGAAAATTGAGTTAGCAATGATTCTAAGTTTCTGAGGATTTATTATCAGAAAAATGTGACTAACTTTTGGAAATAAGGAATACAAGATAGATGTTGAGGTTTGAATTTTGTGCTAACACTAGAAAACACAAGTAACGATATTCAGCAGATAGGGACAACATTCATGAGTGTAAACTATATTTGAAAGCATAGATGGGAATACATCTGAGGAAGGCTATAATAACAAAAGTGGAGGAAGAAAGTTGACTGTTAATGATACTCTTAACCCACAAGGGAGAGCCTCTCAGCAACCAGGCAAATCATCACCAATAGAAAAATATTGAAAGATTTAAATTCATGGTTTATGAGAAACACAGTAAAGAACAAGTGCTTAAGAGTCAATTCAAAAGGGCAACAGCTCTCTTTTGATGAATCTTTTCATGTAAATCTGAATTTGTTTCTGGAACAAAATTAATTGTATAGTAAAGTCATTGTTCTTGCCTCACCTCCTCAAAGTCACTTGTTAGCTTCTAAGATGTGAGATGATGCTTTTAACACTCTTAGATATTAGAGTGCATAAGATTCTTAGACATGCAAAATATTTTATTAGTTAATTTTTAAATCAAAACTTCTATATCACATTCAAATATAAATTATAAAACTTATACATTTATATTTTAGTTGTCATCAGTTATAAAGGCATTTTCAACATAATGTGTGTGACTGAATATCATTTAGTTTGATAATTTTGTGAGCTTGTCTAATAGAGGAACTGAGGGGAATTTTAATAATTGAGTTGTAGTGTGTGTATCAGTTTTATACTTCTGAGTAATAAATTGCTATAGTTAACAGCTTGGAATAACACTCATTATTTCAGAGCTTATGCATAACAGAGATTATACCTCTCACATATTCTACTTTAACTGAAGCCCTATGCTCAGGATCTCACAAAACTAGCCAACTTGTTGACAGGGACTGCAGGTTAATCTGATGCTCAGGGTACTCCATGCTTATGTGATTTTTGTAAGATTTCATTTTGTTGAACCTTTGGTGCTTCAAGGTCAGCAAAGAGAGTATCTTCCTACCTGCATGGAGTGTCCCAGTCCTTAAAGAGTTCACAAGACAAAGTCAAGTCCAGAAGGAAAAACCTATCTTGATTAACTCAGAGTCAACTAATCTTTGGCCTTAATTTTATCTGGAATATCCTTGTAGTATTGTTACATCACAGTGAATAATCATAAGAATGATATGTCACCTGACCTCAGAAGTCACCTACAGCACCTAGTATACTGCCTTAATGATTTTAAATTCTTTTAATTTGGCATAATTTCAAGTTTATATGAAAACCGAAAAAAAAAGTCCAGCCAGATTCCTCACATTTCAAACATGCATTTCTCTTTCCTCTCCTTTTTCTTCTCTTTCCCACAGATATGTGTACACACATGTGCACACACACACAATTGACTGTAACCATTGAAGTAAGTTGTAGACATTGCAACTGTAATGCCACCTATCCCTAAAATAATTCCCTGTTTTTTTCTTAGAAACAAGAGAATTCTCTAATATAACCTAAGAATTCTAATCAAAACCAGATTAACATTGATGCAATACTATTATCTAATTACCAAATTTTATTCACTTTCACTAATTTCTCAATAATATCCTTTACAGAAAGAAAATCTAGACCATTTTTTGCATTTAGTCATCATATCTTGAATTTTTTAAAATCTGGACAGACTTTATGTCATGACATTTAAAAATTTTAGAAATTCAAGCCCATTGCTTTTATTTTTGGGTGTGTTTTTGTCATATTTTTCCTCAATATTGGTTTGACTAATAATTCTCTTGATTAAATTCAGATTGCACTTAGGCAGGAACTCCTGATTTTCAAAACTTTTCTCAAGGATCCTTTGTAGAAACAGAGCTTTTCTTTAAAAAAAAAAAAAGGGAGCTATTATCATCATGTTCTCAATTTTAAAAATATTCTCCAAAATAAATTTTATTGAAAACATTGCGTAGACCCAGAGTTTGTGATTTTGTACCTGACCTCTTGTTGACACAAAACCACTCAGAAAATACCCATTCTAAAGTAATTACAGATCCTTCCATTCCCAGTATTGCTAGCTAGTGAATTACAATGGTTCTCAACTGAAGGAGTATCTAAAAATTTGTTGAGTGGAGTAAATCTTCTATGGATAGCACCAACTTCTCATCTAGCAATCAAAGGGTAAAATAAGGATTGTGTGTTCTCCCTATAGGAGAATTATGTTTAATGTTTACTTTGTAAAGTTTCTGAGCTCTAGTGTTTACATCAGTAAATGATTATGAAAATACTTGTGTCATAGGTCTTTAAGGATCACATGAGAAAGAACCTACATAATCTTTCATTTAGTCCGTGTTCAAAAAATGGGTTTTTTTCCTCCATATTCTCCGTCTAGGTACTGTACTGAAAAAATTGGATGCTTACTACTTAAAATGTAATTCATTTTGTCTAGTTGCATTTTACTTTTGCAGTTTAATAAAATATTGGAAACTCTTTAGTACCTAAAAAATAAGTTCCAATTACAAGATAACTGTGCTTCATATCTTATAGTAACTCTACAGATGCTGTATAAGCTAAAAACTTCAAAAGTTTTTGAAAAGCAGAAGGTAGGAGAAGGAAAACAAACGTGTGAAATTGTAGAGGAAGATCCATTTGCAATTCAGATGATTTACTGGTGTCCAGAGAGCAGAATATTCTGTGTATCAGGAGTCTCTGCATATGTCATAATTTATAAATTCAGCAGACATGAAATTACAACAGAAATAGTGGTAAGTTATTTAAATTTAATGTTCACACTTATAGTTATAAAAATTATCATAGATTTTGGTTACTGTTTGGTGTAAATTTTAAGTCAAGTGTGCAGTATCTGACCAGTAATACAATTAATATATTTAATTTTTATTGTATTAAAATGATTTGATTTAAAATGACCAGATAGTTCTCTATCAAAACTTGATACTTTGTGTGAAAAGCATTAATATTTTGAGTTAATCTTGCTATAAATTCACATGTCATATTTCTGTCTTTGATGTTAGGAAAATCTGTGTATCTCTTTGTTAAATTTACCTGACGAAAATAAGCCTATTCCTTCTGTTTGCTAATTGCTAATATTGGAGTGGTAGCATTCATTTTGTTTTTTACTGACAAATGAAAATTGCATATATATTTTAGTGTTCAACATGATGTTTTGAAAATACCTATATATATACCTACAAAATATATAGTTATAAATTTATTTATCTAACATTTAAAAGTCAAATTGATTCAAGATTTGTTCTATACTTTTTTAAAGTTTATCTGAGTTGTATTGTCTTGTCAAACAATTGCCATAAATGTTTATTTCTCTACTACAATAAGTTCATTTTTAATTAATGTCCATATAGCAATATTTTTGATAAATTAAAACTAATTATGGGGCTACTTTACCTAATCTTAATTTTTCAATAATGAATACTCTGAATATTCAAAATATTAATGGGATAAACTAAATCCAGTTAAGGTATCTGTAGACAACTTTCCTTTTCTAACCTTTCCATCTTACCAGAAGATAACAATTATTTACTTTGGTCCTATGTATACTTCCACAACTAAAATTAATATCATCCTTCTGTACTACATTAGTTAAAATCCAGGCTTTGAAGTCAGATGAACCTAGGTTTTAATTCAGGATTTACATTGAATATCTCTGTGATTCTGAGCAAGTTACAGGGGTGCTAGTTAATAGAATCTGGTTGTGATCAAATTTCATCATTTTGTTAATACTACTGTATTTACCACCCTTTAGTAAAATTAGTAAAATTTTCTGTAAGCCATTGTTTCAGTCTCAATACTTGTTGAATAACAAGTACTTGTTGTATTCAACAAATACTTGTTGAATAACAAGTATTTATTGTAAAATTAGTTTTAACTAAAGTATTTAATGTAGTAGTAAAGTTACCATACTCTTGTCATTACATAATTCTAGTTAATGAAATTAAAGAACTAACAGTTAAGTTAAGGAAACAATCAAAAATATGATATTTCTTTTGGAAAAATTTTACTAAATTAATGCAGAGTCAAAATGAGATAAAAGTTTTTAACTAAAAAGCTTTCTACATATAATAATTTCTTCCATACTCTCATACACACACACATACACACACTGTACATACAAATACACACATCTCCCCATACTTCAGTTTAATTTTTTCATTGGAATACAATGACCAATGTCTTTTTATTTTATGATATATCAAATCATAAGTTAAATTTTTATTAAAAAATATTTTTGAAATAAAATGTTTATCTCCACTAATCGGTATTTTTCTTATAAATTGTGATAAATGAAAAGATTACACTTTTTATAATTACCATTGAATTTCCATGTGATTCATGACTTAATGCTGAGAAATGAAAAAAAATTACATGTTTGTGATTGCCACTGAATATTCAAGGTAGAAACTGAACTTACTAAACTGAGAAAATGTAAATGATTTCTTAAAAGTTATCAGTTATATGAATGTGACTGTTATGTGACTTAAATTAAATTAAAATTTGATTTTTTTTTAAGTCACTAGAAGTACGACTTCAATATGATGTTGAAGATATTATTACTCCTGAACCAGAAACCAGTCCTCCATTTCCAGATCTCTCATCCCAGCTTCCTTCTTCAAGGAGTCTTTCTGGGAGCACCAACACTGTGGCTAGTGAAGGAGTAACAAAGGACAGTATCCCATGCCTCAAGTAAGTTACTAGCAATTTTTTAATGATTTCTTTTTATTTATTTATTTGAAATGCAGAGTTAAGGGGACAGAAGAGGAGAAACAGAGAGAGAGAGAGAGAGAGAGAGAGGAAGAGAGAGAGGGAGATTCTCCACCCACTGGTTCACTCCCCAAATGACCACAATGGCTGAAGCTGTAACAGGCTGAAGCCTGGAGCTGAGAAGTCCATCTGAGTCTCCGATGTGAGTAGCATGGTCTCAAGTACCTGTGCACATTATCAGGGAGCTGGATTGAAAGTAGAGTAGCATGGCCGGCGCCGTGGCTCAATAGGCTAATCCTCCACCTTGCGGCGCCGGCACACCGGGTTCTAGTCCGGGTCGGGGCGCCGGATTCTGTCCCGGTTGCCCCTCTTCCAGGCCAGCTCTCTGCTATGGCCTGGGAGTGCAGTGGAGGATGGCCCAGGTGCTTGGGCCCTGCACCCCATGGGAGACCAGGAAAAGCACCTGGATCCTGGCTCCTGCCATCGGATCAGCGCGGTGCGCCGGCTGCAGCGGCGGCCATTGGAGGGTGAACCAACGGCAAAAGGAAGACCTTTCTCTCTCTGTCTCTCTCTCTCACTGTCCACTCTGCCTGTCAAAAATAAAAAAAAAAAAAAAGAAAGTAGAGTAGCTGAGATTAAAAACCAGCACTCATACAGGATGCTAGCAGGTGGGAGTTTAACCCACTGTTACACAAGACTAGCCCCTGCTACCAAATTTTGAAACACCTTTACTGTTAATCATATTTGAAACCATGGAAAATAAAATCACTATCCTTTTTTATTAGGTCTTTGTCAAATAACCTACCATCCACCAACAGATACCCTGGTCTTTGAACATCTATGATGAGGACACAGTGTTTTCATTCTTCATTTACTTATTTACATATTCAGTTCCAGAAGGAACTGAAAGAAAATGTTTTTTGAATGGAAAGTTAGACAGAGTACAAACTTGACCACTTGAAAAGTGTATGTATGGAATTTCTTTAGCATTTTTGGAATCAAAAGGATGATAAAGATGACTGTCTATTACAAGAGTTACACGTTACAAAAAATTTTCTCATGATTGCTAATATGTTACTAAATTCATAAATTTATTTTATAATTGCTTTTAATTTTTTTAAATTATACAAGTTTCACGTATTTTATATAAACAGATTTAGGAACATAGTGATACTTTCTATCCTGCCCTCTCTCTCACCCACACTCCAACCCTCCTTTCTTCTCCCACTCCTATACCCTATTAATTTTTATGAAATTCGGACTTGCCTCAAATGGTGGAGTTAGAAACGTGCCAGGGGATTCCAATACAATCCCATCAAGGTTGCATGTACTAATGCCATCTCACTAGTCCAAGTGATCAATTTCAGTTCACAATTGATCACACTGATAGGTCTAAGAGTCAAAGGGATCACACAAACAAGACTAGTGTCTGCTAATACTAACTGATAGAATCAAAAAGGGAGAGAATGATCCAACATGGGAAGTGAGATACCCAGCAGACTCATAGAATGGTAGATGTCCTAAACAGCACTCTGGCCTCAGAATCAGCCCTTAAGGCATGCAGATCTAGCTGAAGAGCCCATGAGAGTATTTTAGGCATGGAAAGCCAAGACACTCTGAAAAAAAAAAAAAAAAAGAGGACCTAAGTGAAAGATCTCTGTGAGTGAGTGAGATCCCAGTGGAAAGAATGGGGCCATCAAAGAAGGAGGTACCTTTCTCTGAAGGGAGGAGAGAACTTTTACTTTGACCATGACCCTGTCTGAATAAGATCGAAGTCGGAGAACTCAAAAGGCTTCCATAGCCTTGGCAACTCATGACAAGAGCCTAGGGAGATTACTGACGCCATAAACAAGAGTGTCAAATTGTTAAGTCAACAGCAGGAGTCACTGTGTACTTACTTCTCAATTGGGATCTGTCCTTAAAGTGTTGTCCAATGTGAAGTAATGCTATAACTAGTACTGAAACAGTATTTTACACTTAGTTTTTCTGTGTGGGTGCAAACTGATGAAATCTTTACTTAATATATACTGAAATGATCTTCTGTATATAAAGAGAATTGAAAATGAATCTTGATGTGAATGGAATGGGAGATGGATTGGAGATGGGAGGGGTGTGAGTGGGAGGGAAGTTATGGGGGTGGGGAGCCATTGTAATCCATAAACTGTACTTTGGAAATTTATATTTACTAAATAAAAGTTAAAAAAAGATATATTTTCAGTTTACTTAATGATCGTAAGGTTAACCCAACTCTAAGTAAAAGAGTTCAACAAATAGTATGAAGAAAAAAACACTATTCCTCAACAGAAAAGGGCTGTAAGAGTCATCGAATTTCTTATACAATACATTACTCCAATACAGTACATTTTAGGTACTCTATTACTTACCCCTGATCAGGGAAAACATATGATATTTTTCTCTTTGGGATTGGCTTATTTCACTAAGAATAATCACTTCTAGTTGCATCCATTTTATTGCAAAAGACAGTATTTCATTTTTTTATAGCTCAGTAGTACTCCATAGTGTTCTCTCTCTCTCTCTCTCCATATATATATATATATATATATATATATATATATAAAACAAATAATTTCTATAATTTCTTTATCCAATCATCAGTTAATGGACATCTGGGTTGATTCCATATATTAGCTATTGTGCTGCAATCTGGGAATACAGATAACTCTTTCATATGCTGACTTCTTTTGGGTAAATGGGTAAATTCCCAGGAGTGGGCTGGCTGGATAATATGGCAGGTCTATATTCAGATTTCTGAGGTATCTCCATATTTCTGAGGTATCTCCATACTGTTTTCCCCAGTGGCTGCACCAGTTGACATTCCCACCAACAGAGGATTGGGTAACTTTTCCCCCACATCTTTACCAGCATTTCTTGTTTGTTGATTTCCGTATGAGAGCGATTCTAACTGGGGTGAGGTGAAACATCACCATGGTTTTGTTTTGCATTTTCCTGATGGCTAATGATCCTGAGATTTTTTTCCATAAAGGGTAAAGGAATTAAGAGGCTCGACAACACCTTGATCCCTCCAGAAGGAATTTCAGGGCAGGCAGAGTGGATAGTGAGAGAGAGACAGAGAGACAGAGAGAAAGGTCTTCCTTTTTGCCGTTGGTTCACCCTCCAATGGCCACTGTGGCGGGCGCACTGCACTGATCCGAAGCCAGGAGCCAGGTGCTTCTCCTGGTCTCCCATGCAGGTGCAGGGCCCAAGGACTTGGACCATCCTCCACTGCACTCCTGGGCCACAGCAGAGAGCTGGCCTGGAAGAGGGGCAACCGGGACAGAATCCAGCGCCCCGACCGGGACTAGAACCTGGTGTGCCAGCGCCACAAGGTGGAGGATTAGCCTATTGAGCCATGGTGCCGGCCTTGAATTTCCTCTCTTGAAAAATGCCTGTTCATCGCTGTGATGTAGCAGGTACAGCCTCTACCTGCAGTGCTGGCATCCCATAGGGGGGCCAGTTTGAGTCCCGGCTGTTCCACTTCTGATCCAGCTCTCTACTATGGTCTGGGAAAGCAGTAGAAGATGGTCCAATTCAAGGGCCCCTGCACCCATGTGGGAGACCCAGAGGAAGTTGCTGGCTCCTGGCTTCAAATTGGCACAGCTCCAGCCATTGTAGCCAATTGGGGAGTGAACCAGTGGATGGAAGACCTCTCTCTCTCTCTCTCTCTCTCTCTCTGCCTCTCCTTCTCTCTCTGTATAACTCTGACTTTTAAATGAAATAAATAAATCTTTTAAAGAAGAAGAAAAGAAAAATTTCTGTTTAAGTCCTTTGCACATTTCTTAACTGGATTGTTGGTTTTGTTGTTGTTGAAGCTATTCATAGAATCTAGATATTAAACCTTTATCAGTTGCATAGTTTGCAAATACTTTCTCTCTGTCAATTGCCTCTTTGCTGAGTGTTTCCTTTGCAGTTTGTCAGTTTTGGTTTTAGATGCCTGAGTTTCTAGGATCTTTTTGAGAAAGTCTTTTCCTATGCCAGTGTCTTGCAGAGTTTCCCTCTGTGTTCTCTAATGATTTGATGATATCAGGTAATAGATTTAGGTCTTTGATCTATTTTGAATGGATTTTTGTGTAAGTTGTAATGTAACAGTTTATATTCATATTTTGGCACTCAGAGATCCAAATTACCCAGCACCATTTGTTGAAGAGACTGTCCTTGCTTCAGCATTGTTTTTAGCTCCTTTGTTAAAGATAAGTTGGTTATAGATGTGTGGATTGATTTCTGGAGTTTCTATTCTCTTCTCTTGGTCTATATATCTGTTTTTTGTGCCAATATGAGGCTGTTCTGATGATAACTACACTGTAGTATGTCTTGAAATCTGGAATTGTGATGCCTTTGGCTTTGTTTTTGATGTATAAGATTGCTTTAGCTATTCAGGTTCTCTTGTGTTTCCTTATGACTTTCAGCATCATTTTTTCTAGATCAGCACAGAATGCCATGATATTTTCATTGGGATCACATTGAATCTGTAAATTGGTTTGGGTAGTATGGACATTTTGGTGATATTAATTCTTCCATTCCATGAACATGGAAGGTTTTTCCATTTTTAATATCTTGTTATTTCTTCCTTTAATGTTTTATAATTTTAATCAGAGATCTTTGACATCCATGATTAAATTCATTTTGAAGGTATTTGATTTTTTTATAGCTATTGTGAGTGGGATTCATCTTAAAAGTTCTTTCTTGGGGCTGGCGCTGTGGTGCAGTGGGTTAACGCCCTGGCCTGAAGCGTCAGCATCCCATATGAGCACCGGTTCTAGTCCCGGCTGCTCCTCTTCTGATCCAGCTCTCTGCTATGGCCTGGGATAGCAGTGGAAGATGGCCCAAGTCCTTGGGCCCCTGCACCTGCACGGGAGACCCAGAAGAAGCTCCTGGCTCCTGGCTTCGGATTGATGCAGCTCCAGCCGTTGCAGCCAGTTGGAGAGTGAACCATCGGATGGAAGATCTCTCTCTCTATCTGCCTCTCCTCTCTCTGTGTAACTCTGACTTTAAAATAAATAAAAAAAATAAATCTTGAAAAAAAGAAGTTCTTTCTCAGCCTTGGCATTGTCTATGCATACAAAGGCTATTGATTTTTGTGTGTTAATTTTATTTCCTGCCACTTTACCAAACTCTTTCATGAGTTCCAGCAGTCTCTCAGTATAGTCATTTGGATCTCCTATATATAGCATCATGTCATCTGCAAATAGGGATAGTTTGACTTTCTCCTTTCCAATTTGTATCCCTTTGATTTCTTTTTCTTGCTTGATGGCCCTGGCTAAAACTTGTAGTGATAGTGGGCATCCTTGTCTGGTGCCAGATCTTAGGGGGAATGCTTCCAACTTTTCCCCATTCGGTAGGATGCTGGCTGTGGGTTTGTCATAAATTACCTTGATTGTGTTGAGGAATGTTCCTTCAATACCCAATTTGCTTAAGGTTTTCATCATGAAACAATGTTGTATTTTATCAGATGTTTTCTTTGCATCTAGAGATAGTCATATGGTTTTTCTTCTTCAGTTTGTTAATGTAATGAATCACATTTACTTATTGGTGATTTATTAATAAATTATGTTCTCACAATACATCTAACAAAGTTTAGTACCACAATCAAATGAAAATAAAGTTAATAAATACCATAATAATATTTATCTTAATTCTTTTGGTCACCTTTAGTAATGGATTATAAGTTATTAATTACTTCTTCTACACTGTCAAACCAAATGTTTCTAGTTTTAACTGGTTGGAGAATTAACCCTAATAAACAAAGAATTTCTTTGGTCCCTATGTGAAAATATCTGCATCTACTATCTGCTACTCAGGGAACTTTGCTAGTTTCCTCATATCTTATGAAACACTTTCAGAAAATTTAGATACAGGATTTCAAGATACAAGATTTAGATACAAAATCTACATAATCAGTAGCTTCTAAGCTTTGTTATCATTGATTTTCCTCCCAAGACTACTTTCCTTGTGAAGTTTACAAAAAAAAGGAAATATAAGTAAATATTAATGGGAGGACAATCTACTCTAGAGGAAACATACCTCAAATTTTTAGCTAATCAAAAATTTTCAAATATAATTTTAAGTATTTAATTTTCCCTTCATATCTCTTTATTTCATTTAACAAATTTGTATTGAAATGAAAACTAAAAAAAGGATAAAAAGTTCAAGGAAGAACTGTACATTGATTTTTTATTAGCTTAGAAGATCTATCACTGAAGTGTGAGTTTTTAATTACATAAATATTTTTCTGTAAAAGTTAAAAAAAATTCTTAAAGATTTATTTATTTGTGAGGCAGAGTAACAGAGAGAGAGATGGAGAGACAGATCTTCCAACCACTTGTTCACTCACCAAATGGCCGCAGTGGCTGGGGCTAGGCCAGGATGAAGCCAGGAGCTTTTTCCAGGTTTCCCACGTTGGTTTAGGGGAGTAAGGATGTGGGGCATCCTCTACTGATTTCCCAGGCACATTAGCAGGGAGCTGGATTAGAAGTGGATCAGCCAGGACTTGAACCAAAGGCCATATGGGATGCCAGCACTGCAAGCCGCAGCTTTAACCCACTCAGCCACAGCACTGGCCCCTGAACAAGATTTTAAGGTAAACATTTAAAAGATAGGGCTGATGACAAAGGAAAACCAGGGAAATCAACAAAGATCTAATAGTAGAAATGGAGTAATCAGTAACAGTTGTTGAAGTGTAATACAAATGGTGACTTGAATAATGCAGATACTCTTAAGGATCATTAAGATAATCAGTAGGTAATAATAATCAATATAAATCCTATACTGTGTGGTTAGTGCCTAGAAACCAAGCAGCAAAACTGATCTAAGTATTTTGTTCTGTGAATTACATTACATTGTGTAATTCTTGAATTGTATATTATTCACCTTTTACTAAATTATATGTAGGCATCCATCCTCAAATCACTTTTCTTTGCTGAGACTATTATATACATTAGCTATATAAATAATCATTTCAACTAGCCATGTCTTTGTTTTGTTTTTCTTAGCAATATTACAAATCTTATAATTATATACATGTTTGTGTAAATACAGGATTATTTTATTGCCATGTGCTTCCTGGTATGAAAGACTTAGATTTAAAGAAAAACTTAAAGTGAAGAAATTAGCCCAAGAGTATCAGGTAGAAGAATGTTCCAAGCAGAAGGAACAGCTAGAGAAAAGACTTTGAAGTGCTTGGCGTGTTTGAGGAACAGGATCAAGCTCAGTATAGTTAGACCAAATAGAGGTGGGGCAAGATGGAAAATAAAGTATTATATGGCCAACTAATACCTTGCTTTATATTATAAATGGAGAATGGTGAGTATTACAGGAGTTTGAGAACTACAGAAATGACATGATCAGATTTAAATTTTGAATAGATCACTTTAGTGGCTGTGTTGGAAATTGATTTAGGGATGGAAGGGAATCATAGAAGCTGAGAAACCATGTAGGAGTTTATTCCAGTAAACCAATTACACATGAAGTTAATGGCTCCCAGATTTAACAAATAAAATGTAACATACTAATTTAAATCTGAATTTCAGATAAGCAATTAGCATTTTTTAATATCAGTATATCCCACTGGCCATTCTTAATTACACTTTTTATTATTTAATTTAAATTTAAATGGGCATCCTATATTTTTATTTGCATCTATAATTAGGGTGCTAGCATTAGAGAAGTGAAGTTCTTGATATATTTTGAAGGTAGCATCAACAGCATTTGATAATTGATTAGGTATAAAGTATAAGAGTATGATTTACTCAAGGATGACTTTAGGTTTTTTGACTCAGTGACTGAAAGATAGGAGTTGCTATCATAATGGACAAAACTACAAGTGAAACAAATGTAGAAGACAAGATTAGGAATTCTGAATTCATTGGGAATATTTAACTTTTTAGTTGAGTAGTAGGTTAATGGTCATTCTTTTTGTTATTCTATAACTTATATGTTCTCATATATAAGAAATACAAGTATTACATTATAAAAATAATGTAAATACTATTTTAAAGAAGTTTTTAAAAAGTAAATTATGTAGGCCAGTTGAAGTTGTGGACCTGACTGTGAAGCTACTTAAAGAAATAACAAAGCAATCTTAAGTAGCTCAGTGTATTTTGAGAAAACTACAAGACACTGTCCACCTGTGTGCTACCTCCAGTGTCTGGTGTTGTATATGTATATAGGATGATTCTATACAAATAAGCAGTGTGTGATAGAATTATTTTTCACTTTCTCCTAGTGTTAAGACACGACCAGTACGAATGCCTCCAGGGTACCAAGCAGAACTTGTTATTCAGTTGGTGTGGGTAGATGGTGAACCTCCTCAACAGATTACTAGTCTTGCTGTAAGTTCAGCATATGGAATGTAAGTAATTAGAATTTCTTTCTGATTTGCATTTTCAGCTAATATATTTGATGCTTTAGACGTTTCTTTTTAAATGCTCAGGTGAATTTCTAAAAATGGGAAAAGGTCCTTACCTGGATTCTTATTAGATTGAACCATGATATAAGACAAATCATAATTTAAACTTAAACTGGTTATTTGTTCTTCTTAATGTCAAGTTTGAGATTGTGTTTCCACTTTTAGGAGATTATAAAGATATCCTTATATTTTATGATTTGTTTAATTTTGTATTTACTGTCCCTTTTCTCCTTGTGTTTCATTCTGGATATTTTCTCTTGAGTTGTTCACTAATTCCCTTTCATCTGTGTTTAATGGTAGATACACCAAAGGAATTCAATTTTAGTTTTTATTTTTCAGTAGTAGACTTTCCATTTCTTTTAAATCTTCTATTATTGAATTATCATTCTTGTCCTTTATTGCCTTGAATATATTGAATATAGTCACTTTAAATATGTGATTTATACCTCCACATTTGGTAACTACATCTTCTACTTGTCTTGGTTTTTGTTAAATTATATTGTGTTCAAATACACAAGTCTGATTTTTTTGTTTGTATCTGCTTTTTTCTTTTTTATATTAATTAATATAAAGGGAACAAATTTCATGTATTTCATATATACAGTTTTTTTTTCATATATACAGTTTTAAGAGCATAATGATACTTCCCATTCTGCCCTTTCTCCCTTCATCCCTTACTCCTATACTCCATCCACCTTCCTTTCTATACCACAATGCCAGCCTTAAATTTTATCCCCTTTCATGTCTAATTCTAATTAACTCTTATTCCTAGGGTTTAGCCCTCCACAGATGTGCTAAACTATACTTTTATTAGCAGTGTTTAAGAATTCCTGGTTTCCTACAACCTTCCTAACAACTGTGCATAATCAAAGTTTGCTGATAATTGTCAATTTGTCAAATAGAAAGTAGAATATTATTATAATATTAGTATACTTTTCTCATACATTAGGTAAAACTGAACACCTTTTCGTGGACTGTGACATTTCTGTTTCTACTCTTCATTTCCTACAGATTTGTTGGCCTTAGAGACTTGTGAAAACTGTTTACATATTAAGGAAGTTAGCTTCTTCTGTGATATAACTTCCAAATATTTTCCCTACTATTGCCTGTTTTATGATTTTGTTTAGGTGAATTTTCCTGTACATAATTTTTAAATGTTTTATGTCTTTCTATTGTTATTTATTTTTAATATATTTTAGATTTAACAATTAATGTTTACCATATTCACTTCATATATAATATATATATGTACTTACTATTTTTCTTCAAAGAGGGGATATTATATCACATAATGTGGGATTCATGGCAAGGATCATAAAATGAAGAAAGAAGGGTATGTTTTTATGTTGAGGGTATAATTCAGTGAAGACAACATTTGTAGCCATCTGTATACCAAATAATATGGCATCTACACATTTTTATACTCTATATATTAACTTCCACATATGAAAGAAAACACATGGAATTTATCTTTTTATATCTGGTTCATTTCACCTATGGTAAAGATCTCCAGTTCCATCCATTTTGTGGCTAATGTCAGGATTTCAGTCTATTTTATTACTTATATGAAAGAGTTACAGAGAGAGGTAGAGAGAGAGAGAGAAGTCCTCCATCTGCTGGTTCACTCCCCAGATGGCTGCAACGGCTGGAGCTGCACCAATCCAAAGCCAAGAGCCAGGAGCTTCTTCCGGGTCTCCCATTTGGGCACAGGGGCCCAAGGACTTGGGCCATCTTCCACTGCTGTCCCAGGCCATAGCAGAGAGCTGGATGGGAAGAGGAGCAGCCAGGACTAGAACCAGCACCCATATGGGATGCTGGCACCTCAGGCCAGGGTGTTAACCCACTGCGCCATGGCGCCGGCCCCAGGATTTCAGTCTTCAATCTAGCCAGAATTTATTTATGTATATGATAGGAAATAAGAATTAGACTACATTTTCTTGATTACTAAGAATTTTGCTAATGCCATTTTGTACATATTTCATCTGTACTAATTTGAAATTAAGTGTTATCAAATAATCTACTTCTTTTTATATTGGCTCTATTTCTCTGCTTCCAAAGTTAAGTATGGTAAGACCTAAGAGAACTTCCTGAGGCCAGCAGTAAGGGGGAATAGTTAGAAAAATTATATGTGTGTTCCTGCAGTTTTCTGCAAGGAATTGTGGAGGCAGGGAAACATCAGAATTGAGAATCTGTGAACCTATATACAGGAACTTACTTCTTGATTAGAAAGTTTCAGATGGGAAATCTGGTATTAGTAGCCAATAGATGGGCCGGCAACGCGGCTCAACAGGCTAATCCTCCGCCTTGCGGCGCCGGCACACCGGGTTCTAGTCCCGGTCGGGGTGCCAGATTCTGTCCCAGTTGCCCCTCTTCCAGGTCAGCTCTCTGCTGTGGCCCGGGAAGGCAGTGGACGATGGCCCAAGTGCTTGGGCCCTGCACCCCATGGGAGACCAGGATAAGTACCTGATTCCTGCCTTCAGATCAGCACGGTGTGCCCGCGGCGGCCATTGGAGGGTGAACCAACGGCAAAGGAAGACCTTTCTCTCTGCATCTCTCTCTCACTGTCTAACTCTGCCTGTCAAAAAAATAAAAAAAATAAAAATAAAAAAAATAGCCAATAGATGAAGGGAGAGGATAAGGGACAGTGGAACAGCCTATAGTTTAAAAAGTAAATTGAGGAACAATAAAAATTTTTAGGGAGTTTATTTGTTTTATTTTATTTTTATTTTTATTTTTTTTATTTTTTGATAGGCAGAGTGGACAGTGAGAGAGAGACAGAGAGAAAGGTCTTCCTTTTGCCGTTGGTTCACCCTCCAATGGCCGCCGCGGCCGGCGCGCTGCGGCCAGCGCACCGCGCTGATCCGATGGCAGGAGCCAGGAGCCAGGAGCCAGGTGCTTTTCCTGGTCTCCCATGGGGTGCAGGGCCCAAGCACCTGGGCCATCCTCCACTGTACTCCCTGGCCACAGCAGAGAGCTGGCCTGGAAGAGGGGCAACCGGGACAGAATCCGGTGCCCCAACCGGGACTAGAACCCGGTGTGCCCGCGCCGCTAGGCGGAGGATTAGCCTAGTGAGCCGCGGCGCCGGCCATAGGGAGTTTATTTGTATAGTGAATCATGAATTAGCTCTAAACCCAAAGTAATTCAGGAGTTCTACAGAGAGAACTCAAGGAGGAGGGCTTTATAGGATAAAGAAATAAAGCCTATATATAAAATATAGATCAAATGTACATTTGATTAATTATAGTTGTACAGTTACATTATATATACTGTTGTAAAGTTCCTAGTTATATGAGGGTACTTAAAAAGGTTTATAGAAAATTAAGATAAATTTATTTTAGCACAAAAAGTTTTTGAAATCTCTTCATAGTCTTTTCATAATATACAGTTTCCATGACCTTTGTGAAAACCCCTTGAATGCATGGATTTCGAAATTTTCTGACCAAAATAAACCTGCCTTTTAATTTCATCTTCCATGAGCTTTTTGAAGTAGCCTGTACAAGTATATGTTAATTGGCTGCTTTTGATTGGTTGAGCTTAATTTCTGTTTTTCTTTAATATTGGCATTTACAAAAAGCAGCTCAAGTTAAATTCTACTTATACTTGCAAATCATGCAAGGTTCAGACATAGTCTCCATTTTAGTGTAACACTATATGAGTAGTCCCATTATTTAATATGGTAGGAATGACTATTTTTAGCCTAAGTAGTTACCATGGAATGTGGCTCAGTTCAAACTATTTTCAGGTTTTCATTCTCAATTGATGGATCTACAAAGGCAGGGGATATCAGAATTAAGAGTCTCTGAAAACGTGCCACCTCGTTCATGGCTTCAAATTGTAAAATGTATGTAAAAGACATTTCCTGTTTATGTTTGTCATTGTTATCTGATTATACATCCATTTGATTTGACCAAGATCTGTAACATTTTTCCTTTTCTCAGTTCCACCTTTTCCACCCAACTCAAGCTGACTGACCATGCAATCCCTCATTCACTTTATGAAGCAGATTATTATTTGAATAGTACTTCATGTCAGTGACTCTGTAGCTACATTTAAATATTAAAGGAAGCAAAAATCATATATACATTAGATATCAAAGAAAACAAAAAATATAAGGACAACCATAATTTAATTATTGTAAGAAATATTTGACAACTATTTGATGTCAAAAATCTTAATTGGCCTAAGTCTAATGAGGAGAGAGAATATCAAGGATCAATCTAGCAAATGTTAGCTAACTATCCCTATTTTTTCATTAATTACTAATTGTTTACTTTTTTAAGAATCTACCATGTGGAAACTTTTAAGTCAGAAACTGTGAGGAGTGTGAGACTTTTCTCCTCTTACAAGTTAGTAAATATTCTGCCAGTTTTATGTTTTTATGACAAAAAATAGGTCTCTGGGTCAGAACCACGGTTTATTTCTGAGAGCAGAACAGCAGCTAAATCAACACCTTCCATCAGTTCCTTGAGCCTTGGTCCTAACAGGGTAACATGATGAGGGACAGGTGGTATTTGTGTGTGTGGCTTGGTATATTACAAAAGCAGAACTCTGGAGATTGAAGTTGGCTGTATAGAGAAGTCCAGTGTTTGCCTCCTTCTCTACCAAAATACTCCAAAGCAACTGTGGCTCTAGCTCCATGCCTGGGGAAGAGTACCAGAAGCAGTAGGAAAAAAAGCAGGAACACAGTAAGACATCTATAACAGGCATAGTAGATTATATAGAGTGAAAAAAAGGTATAAAGTGGTATCTGAGGCCCCAGGGCCAGGGGATTCCCTGTTGCTGGGAAGAGGGTTAACAGGAAAGGATAGGCAAAGTGCATCTGCACAAACTTGTCACCTGAACGAGCCTCCCCAGAGAGGAAACCTCTGTCACAGACCATAGCTCAGTGAAGAGTGTTCCTTCAAAAACTCGGGGCTCCAGGACCTCAGAGGGGGAGCACACAC